AGTACATCCAATATCATGGCCTCTCAGTCATCATCTACAGACTAACACAATTGCTCGGTTCAGTTGCCATCAGAGCAAAACCAAATGGTGCTAAAGTTATTCACAAAAGGTGTGTGGCACATAAATTATTGTGAAAACTGAAATGTAGATCAAGGTTAAAAATATTATTTATTAAAGAAGGCTATCACCAAAACTCTTTGTGATAACACCAAAATTCCAATTCCTATGGGGAAAGGAAACTCAGGTTTTTCTCCTGCGTTGAACTGCCAGGGGCTATGTGAGGTCACTCCGTAGTCACATTTCTCTGAAAGCACAGCCCTGTCTGAGGTCAAAGTGTATGAGACTGTGTCTCCTGGACTAAGTGGCACTCACTGTAAGAGGGTCAGCATCCCATGGCTATTTGAGCCACGGCGCCACTTACCATCAGGTGCTTGAGTTGAGGGACAAATCTACCAGCAAACCAAGTGTAATCTCACGATATAACCTGAGGTCTGTCTTTAATACACAGAACTCAGGGTCCACTCCCCAAATCAACGGAAGCCCTAATTTTGGGCAGTGAGAGCAAGTAGAAGAGATCACTAAACACATGGATAGAATTCACAAGTACCTGTGCCTGAGTCAACGGAAAAAGAATGATAATGTCAACCATGCCCTGCCTCAAAGTTTAAGGACACTTAAAGATTTAAAGTTTAAGACAGAAGACGACACAGGGATTTTCCATGGGAGGAAGTTCTGAGTCAAGAAGCCCATTCTGACTTGTCTTGGCAACAATGTGCCAACAGCCGAAGTGTCTTAGAGTCTTGGAACCACAGCAAACGCTGCTTCTGTCCGCCCCTCTGCCTCGGGCTGACTGTGCTCTGTGCCTGTGCCCCTCTCCATGGGTGCCGACCCCCTGCCCGGTCCCATACGTGTATCTCATTTCCACCACCCAAGGGATGGTCTTGACCTCAATTTGCAGACAGGAAACTCAGGTCAGTGAAGTCCCATGACTCGCCCGGGGTTACACAGCCAGGAAGGAGCAAAGCTGACACTCAAACCTGGTATCTTCTGCCTCCAGATTCAATTCTTGGGTAGTGATGACTTCATGGTTGGCATTAGCCTGGTCTTGCCTTTGCCAGGCTATTCCCATCTCCAATGAGAACAGGGAAGGGATGACAAGGAGGAGACAGAAGAGAATACACGATCTTCTATTACGTTCAAGTGAAAATGAACTGTGGGTGACCGGCTGGCTGTGAAGTTCTGAGCTGTGAGACGGAGCTTCCTCAAAGTCTCCTCCTTTCCCTTCCTCCAGCGCGGGCAAGAAACACACCATTTCCATTTATGGAGAGAAGAGGCCCTGTCACTTTGACTGTATGCCAGTTCCAGAAGGAAGAGAGGTGATGTGTGTCATCCAGCAAAGCTGTCTTGTGTTTTCATAAGGCCAAGCAGCCACCCACGGAGGAAAACCGCCTTCGGGAGGTGGGTGTAGGCAGGAAGGGACACCACTCAGCACACAGCTGTCCTCCTGAGCCCTTTCAGCCAGGACTAGTCAAATGTCATTCTCTCCAAGTCAGCCTGGGCTTCAAGACCCTTCTCAAGATGGTGCCCAGGCAGAGTCTACTTTTTTTTTTTTTGGAGATAAAAACCTATTTGCCACCCCTGACACTGCAGTCTGCAGGGAGCTGTCCTCAAGGCAGCTGTGAAGAGCTCTTCCGCCTTCCCGGTGACCAGCTGAGGCCTCTGGTTCTGCTGGGTGGCCTTTGGCAGCTACTACTTCACATGTCTTCAGGAACCTCTGGGATCTTAATCAATAGGCCAAAGGAGAGCTACAGAAGAATTAACATTCCCCAACCTTCTGCTCTATATTCAGCAGTTTTCCTGAGGACCACATGTCCCCAAAGAGCCTGACTCAGAGACTTCTCTTGGGACGTGAGGGAAGCAAAGGGGCCGTGAGCTTTTCTTTTCATCTCTGACACTGCTCATTGGCCGTCTCTCCTCTCTTCTCCATGCTGGGGTGACTGCAGCCTCATGGGGTTGGTTTTCCTTGGAGATCACCTGATTTTTCCCCCCAGAAGCAGGGTTAGGGTGCCTACCTCCTCAGGAGGGAGGCTGGTGGGGACCTCCTCTCCTAGCTGTGGCTGCATCCACAGGGCATGACTAAGCTGGGTCCACGATGTGGGCATGCAACCTACTCCACCGCAGCTGAGTTCCCCAGGGCTCCAGCCCCCACTGAGTGATTTGGCTGAGCACCCCAGCATCTGCCCTGCTGTGGCTAATGCCCTCATAGAAGTCCCTGGCAGGGATTCATGGGGCTTCAACACTAGAGGTGTTGCCTTTTAGCCTGTGGATTAGATGGCTTCTGTGAGCCATTGCTTGGCACACAAAACATCTGGTTCCTCAGCAACTTTGACATTCAGAGTTAAAAATTCTTTGATGATGCAGATTTCTAGGTTTTTTGACAAGAAGTTTTGCATGACCGAGAATGACGTAGCTAGGAAAACACACTGAGTGCTTGGCTCTCAGAGCATCGCAGTGACCAGGCTGGGTGGCAGGCAAGGGGTCACTCTGGTTCTTAATCCACATCAAGTGACTGCTCACAAGACTCCCGTTAGTCTTCATGATTGAGACAGAAACCCAGAAGGGCGCCAGAGTTTTCTGTGACTGTACAGTAAGGTGATTAATAGAAAACTTCAAAACTGGCCCCTGAATGGTGTAAAGACACGGCCCATTCAAACACTTCACAGAGAAGAAAACGAAGTGAGGGAGAAGAGTGAGGTGTGACAAGGGCGACAAGTGCAGGCCTTCTCTTCCGTGCATTACAAGACTGATGCAAACGAAGCCATAATCTGTGCCTGGGGACAGGTCTGTGTAAGCGTGGACAGTGATAAAATAGGGCTCAACTTGCTGTGTCAACAATTGCAGGAAAAGAAAGGATTGGAGTATGTTTCAGTTAATGTGTCCTGACCCTGGAAACCTCACCTGTGAAATTCTAATGCTCCGGCACCCATCAGAACTCCTAATCTCCTTAAAAACAGGATTCTGCTCCCACCTGGCCCAGTCTCACCAGCACCCTGCCAGCGTCCTACTGACAGCATGACTACAGGATGTGGTTGTGGAGTCAGTCCAACCTGGGTGTGAGTCCTGCCTGGGCTCCTCCTGAGCTGTTCCTAGGCAGGTCACTTAACCCCCAGCCTGGCTTTCATCTGCACAAGTGACACACCATCATCCTCACTGTGGAACTGTCCTTCTCTGCCCCTCTCTGTGTTGATGTTTTCTCTTCCCTTCTGCTCATCTATGACCTTTGGCTCTTCACCTTCTTTCAAACCCCTTCCAAAAGTCATCTCTGCTACAAACCCTCACCATTTCTCCTTACTCCAGAAGTTCCCTCTCCCTGGTTCCCCACTGAGGGTAATTTTAATGACCAAATACAATACGAGATGTGAAAGAACATTACAAACTGAAGAGGGCTAAATGCATGTAAAGGTTTAGGACTATTTCTCCTCAGTATTCATATAACCAGCTTGGATGGTAATTTCTTAAATCGGTATCTGTTTTGTCTCTTCGGTTAGACTCTTACTACCTACAGGGTGATTCACACATCAGCTTCAGCTTCGGCATCCCCTGGAAGGTTGTTGGAAATGCAGAATCTCAAGTCCTGGCAGTGACTGCTGAGTCAGAATTTGAATTTTAACAAACTCTCCAGATGATTCATGTGTACATTAAAATATGAGAAGAATGGAATTAGGCTCCAAGGACCTCAAGGGTACAGACGGCACAGTATCCAGAGAGCCCTCCAGAACCTTGGAGAGCCTAATGTGGGTGTTCAGAAAAATTACCACGTGATGCTGCCCTGCTGGCCATAAAACTGAAAGCCTGCCTGTGCCTAAGCATACGAATGATTCTCATATGAACAGATCTGACTTTGGGTATGTTAACATAAAAAGCTTGAAAATCACACCTGCATAAAAAACAGAGAAGGGTTCCTTTAGGATAACATTATCAGGCAGAGTGCTCAAGTCCTTGGGAACTGGCGAACTGTGCAGTCTTTCTTAGTAGCTAACGGCCCTGCTCCTCACGGTGAGCAGGTGTAAATCACAGAGATTCCCTAGATCTCACAGTTCATGCCCCCTCACTCTACCACAAGCCACTGAACATTCTAATGAAGTTCAGGAAGCACAGGTCTGAAAGGACAGCTGGCCCGGGACTCCCACAGCACACGTGTGGTGCCTCCGCAAAGCCCTGCCTGCTCTACAAACCTGCAGCAGCCTCCCTGCTTCCTGGGACATGGTAGTTCACACTTCCCATCTGCAAGAAGATTAATTTGGGACTCGAATTCCTCTATCATGTGATCCCTTCCTGATGATAGGCAAAGCATCTCCCAGAAAGACTAGAAGGCTAAGGCCAAACAAATTATGCTGAACTATACCGAGTGATCATTTTGTTATTAAGACACCTCTTAGAGACTAGGTGTTATTTGAAGAGGCGGGGGGTGGCGGGGGGAAGGAAGATTAATTTGGGACTCGAATTCCTCTATCATGTGATCCCTTCCTGATGATAGGCAAAGCGTCTCCCAGAAAGACTAGAAGGCTAAGGCCAAACAAATTATGCTGAACTATACCGAGTGATCATTTTGTTTTTAAGACACCTCTCAGAGACTAGGTGTTATTTGAAGAGGTGGCGGGTGGGGGGGGAACATTATCAAGAAGAGAGGCAGATTAACAACACAGAGATGGGAAGTTGGGCTATGGAGTTTGTTCTAGGTTAAATCCCCAGCTGCTAATTTTTCTGAGCCTCAGTGTTTCCTCCTTTAAAACAGGCTGATAGCACCTGTCTGGTGGTTCTGAGGATCACTGTGAGAATACTCAAAATTCACGGAGTCTAGTGGGAAGGGCTCAGTCAACACCAGATGTGATTTTTCTGCTGGGTAGCTCCCCACTGGCTGCCAGGGCCATGCTCCAGGCTGAGAAGCCAGGCCGGCAGGCCCCAAATCCACCTGGCCCCCGGGACACTTTCCCACTCACCTTAATCATCTCTGCCACGTAACTCTCAGGCCCCGTGTACTCTGTGGAGTCCTTTACTTTCACCAGGACGATGAAGCATAGATAGTGCCACATGTTGTGTTCTTCCTTGATGTGCTCTTCAAAGGTCACGGTCTTGTTGTCAAACTTGTCTCTTTCCAAGCCTAAACAAGAGACAGAAAGCCCCAGCCCAACTGAGCAGCCATGGTGCAGGAAAATCCATGGCAGGACTGTGGCTACAGAGAAGGCTGTTGTCTCACTCCCGTTTTTATAAAGCATTAGATTAGCCTGGCCTTACAAATGCATTTACTTTCACATTAGGGCAGGAAAACACAGGCTGTGAGTCTGACTTGGGTTTGAATACTACCTCTGCGCTTACTGGTTGCCAGTTAATCCCCATGTGCCTTAGCTGCCTTGTCAGTGACTGGGAAGACTGCCATCTTCCAGGAGTGTTGGGGTTTAATGAGAACGTGTGTGATGCACTCACACAGAACAGGCAACCAGGGAATGTGAGGTCCCTTCTCCCAGGTAAATGCCAAAATGCAGACATGTTAAAAGTTTTTTGAGGAAACAGAATAAGGACAAAAAGAACTTTCAACAAATTTTGAACTCTAGCTGGTAAGTATATTTCACAGAAGTCTGGGTGAGCAATTCTGAAAGCAGTTTCTATGTATTCTAGAATTGAGCAAATAAGTAAATATATTGTGGATAATGGGAGCCAGATTCCTCACTGTCAAAGAAGGGAGCACAGATATGGAAAGGGAGAAAGACTGAATGAACCCTGTAATGTTGAACTGGAATTAGAGTTATCAGTATGAACTCATCTTTTTTCATATGTATATAAAAATATAGATACAGATATGTATGTAGCTACATATGCATACCTATACATATAAATATGTGCACACAGACACCTGTCCTCTAGATCTGCACCCTAATAAGCTCTGGGAGCAGTGGCACACCCACAGGAATGAGCACGCCTCGCCCCCAGATCCTGGCTTCTAAATACCACTTTCCACTAAAAAGAACCAGGGCTCTTTGGCGAAATGGCTGATTCCAGGGCTGGGTCAGGGAAGGTACAAGATAAATCTGAGCCTGGAATATCTTATGGTGCTAAAAAAAGTAAGGAAGTACATAGAAAATGATGAAGACTTGACAAAACACAGAAGCCAACTTGCAGGGGCTCCCACTGGCCAGATCTGGGGGCAATTTGAGCATCAAAATAAATAATGGCAGGTAAGGAGAATAATCCACTGAATACAATAAAAATCCCTGAATCCATGTTGTCACAAATACAAACATACATGGGGAAAAGAAAAAGTTCTTTCTTGAAATAAAAAGTCGAACAAATGTCGAAAGAATAATGAAGAAGATCATCACTTGGCAACCACCATCATGATAGATTCAGGCAAGAATCATCAGTGGATGCTAAAACTAGTGGGTGAAAGTTTAACCTGAGGAATGATAGGTTCACTACACAATGTCAAAACATCTCTCCATAAAGAGTAACTTTAAGTGAGAAACCTGGCAATTACCACCTGAATCAAGTGATCAACGTTAGTATCACCAGTTACAAGATGAATGGGCACCATGTGCTTCCTGTTATGACGCACTGAGAAGAACACAATGACATCTTTGATATTCCTGTAAAAAATACACGACCTCAGTCTTACCACAGGGAAACGTCAGACAAACCCACATCAAGGGACAGTCTACAAAATAACTGACCCGTATTCTTCAAAAATGTCAATGGAGGCTAAAGAGGCATGACAACTAAATGCTACCCACATCTTGGGACTTACAGAGGACATCCTTGGAACGAAAGGTGGAACATGAATAAAATCTGCAGATTAGACAGTAGTGCTATATCTGTTTTAATTCTCCAATTTTGATAATGAAACTGGAGATACATAAGAGAATGTTCTTGTTTTCGGGAAATACACACTGAAATATTGATGGGTAAACGGGCATCGTGTTAGCCGCTCACACTCAAAACTGTTCAGAAAAATTGCGTGTGTGTGAACAAAGCAAATGAGGTATAACATTAATATCTGAGGAGTCTGGGTGAAGAATGTATAAAAATTCTTTTTTTTTTTTTTGTCTTTTTGTCTTTTTCCGTGTCCGGCAATGGATCTGTCTTTTTCCGTGTCCGGCAATGGATCTGTCTTTTTCCGTGTCCGGCAATGGATCTGTCTTTTTCCGTGTCCGGCAATGGATCTGTCTTTTTCCGTGTCCGGCAATGGATCTGTCTTTTTCCGTGTCCGGCAATGGATCTGTCTTTTTCCGTGTCCGGCAATGGATCTGTCTTTTTCCGTGTCCGGCAATGGATCGCAACCCTCAGTGTTGCCCCCGTACCGGACCGGGGACCGGCAACGGGATCGCAACCCTCGGTGCTGCTCCCGCGCCTCGCTCAGCCAGTGAGCGGGAACCAGTCTGTATGTGGGATCGAACCCTCGGGCGGGAGCGCCGCCGCGCTTCCCAAGTGGCGCACTTATCCAGTGCGCCACCGGGCCGGCCCTAAAAATTCTTTGTACTAGTCTTATGACTTTCCTGTAACTCAGAAATTATATATATATGTTTTTTAAAAAGCTTAAAAAGGTTTCAAAAGGGCAAAAAGCAAAGAATTTAAGTTTTTAAATAGAAAATGCTCTTTTTTTAGTATACATATCAGTAAAAAATTTACATACCTAGAAACTATATTTTGAATAATACTGAAATGATTACTCAACCAGCAGATTCCTACTAATGATTTAGTTTACATTTACATATATTTTCCCACAGTTATATTGAGAATGACTTCTTTGGTACCCCACACCTCTTTTATGTAGCAGGTGCCTACTTATCCTCAGGTACCTACAGTGTCCCAGATGCTGCTAGGAGTGTTACATAAGCCTCCCTCCCGATTTTCATACTAATACCGAGTACATATTGTTGTACCCATCTCACAGATGAGGAAGAACGGTTCAATGAAGTTAAGTGGCTAAACCACGGTTACACATCTAGCAAGCAACAGAAGCTCAACCAGAAGGCTGACTCCGAGCCCAAGCTCTGAACTCTCACCATATTCTAAAGAGGAATATTTTATCACGGCAGATTGTAGTGAAGACACCTGTGAGCTGGAGTTGGATGAAGTATCTCCATTCTAATTTACTTAGAATGGGACCAATGTAAGCTCAGGTAATCCAACAACAAAAAGACCCCGAGATGCATTTGTTTTAAATAATGTGTGGTCACGTCTGTCCCCCCAAACTGGCGACTGCTGCACAGAATTCATTGGCACTCCAAGCACTTCCCGGCAGAATAAAGGCAAAGTAGAGCTGCACTTGCTGCAGAGGGCAGAGAGTCAAGAGAACGCAGCCAGTGCCCCTCCCAAAGAACACCCAGGCACACCCCGTCACATCACGCCCTTGACATCTTCATGTGCCTGTGCCACGCTGGGCAGGCTGGGCAGTGACACTCACCACAGATAAAGCATGTGGTCTTTAAGATCTCCTCCTTCTTCTGCTTCTCACTCCTCAGGTCAGCAAAGGTGTCAATGATAACCCCAAAAATCAGGTTAAGGACAATGATAATGACCATGAAGAAGAACAAGAGGTCATAAATCACTCTAGCGGCAAAGAGTGGTTCCTGCAAAAGAGAGGTGTCTGAATCAGCGCGGTTCCCTTCCCACCCTTTGGTCTGCAGAGCTTGGGGCACAGCTCAGGTTAGACTGATGCATACTTGGGCAGAAATTAAACTGGGCCTTAAACTTTAAAACCCACAACTACATCTCTTTTCACACCCTGCATCTAAATTGTAACTTCTTCAAGTCTTGTGTCACACAACCAAGAGGGTTCTGGAACTGTGTTCAGGTAGGCCAGAACCAACCCTGAGGGAAACAATACTTAAGTCTACTGAAGGGAGAAATAAAGCTGCCTCCTGCACTCCGCTGTTATCGCTGCTCTGCTTTGATAGGATCAACAGAGAGGAAGAAGCCTTGACTAGCGAGTCCCACCCAGCTGCTCATCGCTACCTGGCTCTGCCTCTGCCATCAGTTTACACTCAGCACCCACCCGGCCACCCCCTGCCCTTCCTTCCCCTTGGAATTAATTTACCTCTTTGGATGGCTTCCTGAGCACATCTCCAACTCCGCCCCCACTTCGCAGCCCGTGACTCAGTACAGTGACAATGCACATCAGCAGTGTCTCACATGTGTGCTCTTTATCCTGCTCTGTTACTTCTGCAGGGCCCAGCTCTATGGCAAGTGATAATGGAGTTAAAACGTGAGGGGAAAAGAGATACTGTGATTTTGCAATTATGTCTCCTGACAGGCACAAGAAAAAACAAAATGAAGGAATAAAGAGTGAAACACTTTCTTTCCAAAGCTAAAGTCATCTGGAGCAATTGTCTTCATCACTAACCCGTGCTAACTTCCCAAGCCATTCCAGTGGTGCCCTCCCTCTATTACATCTAAAACATTCCCTGTCCTTGTCAGATTTTAAACTCTAGTCCCAGCTGCGAAGAATCATTTGACATCAGATAAATTGCTTAACCACTCCGAGTCACAAGTATCTTGTCTCTCAGCTGAGGGTACTGCCACAGACCCAGGTTCCTCATGGGGATGTCTGCTGTGAGGACTAAATTCAGCACCACTTTACAGCAGGTCCACTGGATAAACTGCTTTACACTGGAAGCTGCTCATTCTTACTGGTTATGGAGCCAGAGCCATGCCTTGCTGCACATCTTGTGCTTCCCCAGCTGCAGTGAGAACGGTCTTGCTAAAACGCAGATCTCATCTGATCACTCCCCTTTCAACAATTCCCAACCATCCTGTGGATGAAGTTTAACCTCCTTAGCCTGACATATAAGACCCTTCATGATCTGGCCCTTTGCTTATATCTCTGATTTCATCTCCTATTACTCTCTTTCCTCATAATCATTATCTCCCCAAACTTGCTGTATTTTACCTTTAAGCCTTTAGATATGCTCTTCCCTCTATCTAGGATACCTACCCCACCTCCTTGATGATACCCTTATCCTAATATTAGTCTGGGTGCCTATCTTCTACATTCCATCCTTATTCCCAGCATTTCTCTATAAAATCACCTATTTATCTGCCTGCCTCTCCCACTAGATTATTGTCTCAGAGTACAACAGTGGAAAACTGTGGGCACTTAGTAAAAGTTGGCTGAATCAAATCTGATATTTTCTTCACATGTAGCCCTCTTTTCCCTTTATCTCCCTCCTCTCTCCCAGCCTTTGCTACTGGCCTGACTTCTCAGCAGTAAATTTGCTCTAATCCACTTCCAGCATCACCTGCATCATTTAAGCCTCTTGAGGAGTCTGGTATTAACGTGGAGCTTAAGGCTATGAAGTCCTACCCTGTTTGGGTGCAGGTGAGGAACAGTTCTCTCCAGTCTCCACCCTACACACATCAGAGTACAGGAACTCACTTGCCAAACTCTCACTGGTTTCTGGGAGAGAGAAGGAAATTTTATGATGAACAATCTAGCACATATGGTTAAAATGTTTGAAGTTCCTAATTCACGGCTGATTAAACAATTCTTTACATAAATAACACCCTACAATCCTGCATATAAATTCAAAGCAGAGATGCAATTTACACTTTCATTTGATGATCTGGATGGGAAAAAAGCCAAAAATGTCAATTCCTGTAGGCTTACTAGAAATATCGCACTTAAATAGCACCTCTCCAGCTTTAAAGACAAACAGCTGAAACTCTTAGACAAATACTACTGAACGTACAGACTCTAGCAAGATTTATACCAAGTCTGCATGAGAAGCATCAGCGGGCATTAATGGAAATCAGAGGTCCAGACCAGTTTAGTTCAGAACCCTAAGATGGTTGGTAGTAAATGCCACTTAGTGTTAAGGTGGAGGCTGGAGTTACATGCCAGGAATACAGCATTGGGGAGGGAGAACACAAAGGCTGCCTGGCTCATTTAATCACAACAATTCCAGTTTGTTCCTTGACTCAGGGTGCCTGGCTACTTGATGAAAAACCAGTAGCATTTCACTAAGTAGTGCCAACTATTTTAATTGATAGAAAAGAGCACATGAATATCACTCAAATGTATGATCATTTTTTTCATTCTCAAAATTATAAATCCGTTCTTGCTGTATACGAAAAATAACACAAACTCACTGTAAAACCTGCATATAATTTTTAAAAAGTCCATCACTCAAATGTATGATCATTTTTTTCATTCTCAAAATTATAAATCCGTTCTTGCTGTATATGAAAAATAACACAAACTCATTGTAAAACCTGCATATAATTTTTAAAAAGTCCCAGAGATAGCCACTGCTAGCAGTTTAGGGGTATATTAATCCATATTTTAAAAGACATGTATGGACTTTTTAACTTTTAAAAAATATACATGTGATTCTACCACAGTTACTTTGCCACTTTCCACTATATCATGTGGATATTTCCCCATTGATGTACCCTGCGTGCAGAACGCTCCACCCCATGGATATACAATAATCTGAGACATCCCCTTACATTTAGATTGCTTCCAATGTCACACTGAGTGAACACTCTCCCATATACAACTGTTTTTACATATGCAGTCAGCAGATTTTTTTTCTTTAAACCCCTAGAAGTAGATTTACTAAGTCAAGGGGACGTATATTCCTATGCTTTCAATATATGTGGCCAAATTGCTTTATGAAAAAGTTGTCCTAGTTTAAAATATGACTTTAGTAGATAAATTTAACATCGGATATGGTCACTTACCCTTTGTTTCCCATATATCACACTGCCCTTTGAATAAAGTGAGAACTAAGAATTTTAAGAATTCAAATTTCACACTATGTGTTAGGGAGACACAAAAGGGAGATATCTACACTGCTAAAGTTATTATTTTCTTTAGTTCAGTTATAATCAGGAAATATCCTTTTAACATTAAAAAAGATCCCAAACCCACCTGGAAGAGCTGTTTCATTGGGCAACCTATCTACTTCCAAGATAAAATCATCCTTGAAGAAAAGATAGCCCACTATTGAGAACAGGTAAACCAGAATCAAGGCCAGAACCGCTGTCAAGATGATGGACCGTCCATTGCGAGTGACACTTTTAATGACATTAAGCAGAGTCTCTTCTCTGTACACTAAATCAAAAAGCTTTAAAAACAAACAAAAAGATGATGTCAGGACAATTTGAAGAAGCCTCTATGTTAGATGTGCATCAATATCCCATAATGAAAACGTGGCAGGTCTGCCTCCTGACTCTGCTTTTAATTTGTTGCAAGATGTTGGTCGAGACATCTAATCTCTCTGGACCTCAGTTTCCTCATCTGTAAAAGAAGTGGACTGGACTAGCGGGTCTCTGAGTCCCTTCCCATTTAGAATTTTACATCTGAGGTCATTTTCTGTTCAATTAGCTTTTCTGCTTCCCTAACACCAATCTGTGTCCTGAGACTAGTTCTGTGAAGGGCACTGGGTAAATGAGGATACTTCACAGGAAGCAAGGAAGAGGCATTTAGTCAATACGAGAGTACAAAAGGCTAAGTACTGCTGTTATGTTGGTTAAATATTTTCCAGCAGCTCAACACAAAGCAGCAAGTAAGAGCAACTTCAGACATTAGCCTTGTCTTCTGTGGTAAGAAACGATACTTGTTTTCAGTAGTAGGCGCCATAGAGATTATGTAGCCCCCAAAATAACTGAAATGACAAGTGATTTTTTTTCTCTTCTCACTCATCTATAATTTCTGATTTTAAAATAAACATGTATTATTTACATAAAGGAAAAGCTTTCTTCTAATTAGAAAATTACACATGTTCAAAAGGGAAAGCTTGGAAACCAGAGAAAAGCACAAAGGGGAAAAAAAAAAAAACCCACTAGTAATTCCACTATCTACAGACATACACTCAACAAGTTATTTCCTCTTAGTCTTTCAAAAATGTAATTTATACATACACATTTTTACAAAAATATCATACCATAATACTGGCATATAGCCAGCCTCTTTCACCAAGCAATTATCAACATTCCCATGTCAAAAATGATCACCTAGCACAGGTTGCATGTCCTCTATCCAAAATGCTTGGGACCAGAAGTGATTCAGATTTTGGAATTTTTCGGATTTTGAAATGTTTGCAGAATACATACTGGTTGAGCATCCTAAATCTGAAAATCCAAAATACAAAAAGCTTCCATGAGCATTTCCTTTGAACTTCATGTCAGTGCTCAAAATATTTCAGAATTTGGAGGATTTCGGCCTTTCAGATTAGGGATGCTCAAACTCTATTTCACTGTAGAGAAAAAACAATTAACATAACCAGTATCTTTAAAAAAAAAAACAGTCAAGATTCTTTTCAATTATATATCATTATAAATAATGCTGTGATGAATACCTCTGTACATGTGTCTATACATACCTTTCTAGTTATTTCTTTTTGGTGAATTTCCAGATATGAAAATTTTGGGTCAAATGTTATCATAGAAACATGTTGCCTTATTGTCTTCCAGAAAGGCTATATCAGTTTACACTCACAAGTAGTAAAGAATGACACCCATTTTACCCCACTTTCACTAGTACTGGGTATGATCATTCTTCTTAATCTTTCCTAACATCACAAGTATAACACAAGATCATGGCGTTGTTTCAATTAGCCTGTCTGTTTAGCAGTAAGGAGCGACATTTTTCCACCACTGACCATCTGGATTTCTCCTTTTGTTAACTGCCTCCTTATGAACTTTGCACATTTTCATCTTTAGGTGTTAATATTTTTCTAAAGAGACAACTCTAATGCAGGCTCAAAACCAGGTCCAGCCAGTCTTTGGAAGGCCCAGCACTTCAATCAGGCCACCAGATCACCCTCCTTCCCTGTGGCCTGCTGACGTGGAGGCAGCTCTCACAACCCAGTAAGGTATGGGTTTCCGCTGCAGAGGTCTCTCTCCTTTTACAAGCAGCCCAATTTCTTTTGGTTGCAGGCTTTCCTTATTTGTGGAATAACTTGAACAGTTTCAGTATTTTGTCTGTGGTTCTCACCAGACACATTGAATACTGCTTTAGACACCAGAAGCAATATACCACTTGAGGCCACAGACAGGTCAAGGTCCAGATGGCTTAGAAACCCCCAGAAGCACACGTGAGAGGCAGCCAGTCACAATCTAGGTTGATCGTACTATGTTTTTCTAAAAGTAAACTGAGCTTAGGTAATGGCATCAGAAACTCAAGAGTTACTCTTTCCTTTCCGTGATAGGTCACAGATTTGAAAGCACACATGCAAACTACAATGTGAAAAACTGGTTTCCCTGAAGCAGGGACTTTTTCACATGCTCAGATGAAAGGCAGTGTAGACTTGGAAATCAACAGAGTTGAGTTGCTACCCTGCCTCTGCCACTTACTGACTGTGTGACTCTGGGCAAGTTACCTATCCTCACCCGCCTCAGTTTCCTTAGCTGTAACTTGAAGACATCTACCTCAAAGGTGACTGGAGTTGAGTTGCTACCCTGCCTCTGCCACTTACTGACTGTGTGACTCTGGGCAAGTTACCTAACCTCACCCGCCTCAGTTTCCTTAGCTGTAACTTGAAGACATCTACCTCAAAGGTGACTTTGAGAGATCGCAGGAGGAGAGCACACAGCAAGCACTGGATAAATGGTAGTAACTACCACTGTCTAGGCTGTGAGGCCTGGGAGGGAAGGGGCTGTGTTTGTCTCACCGTTATATCCCCTGCATCTAGCACTGGCACAGGCTGGCACTGCAGATGACTAAAGGAAGATTCAAGTAAATGGGAAAGGAAACAAAGCCAGCTGGAGACAGACTAGGAAAAGTCGCACTCTGCCAGGGAGAGACAGCATTGTATGAAGAGGAATCTCCTGTCCCTTGGGAGAGATCCTCAGTAAGGATAAGAGAGACCATTAACTGAATCCTGTCTGCCTTCCAAGGGAGGACAGGTATTTGTTGGATTGACAGAAATGGGTCTCCCTGACTTACAAATGGAACCCCATCCAGGGACATTATTGCATGAGACAAAAAGGCTCAGAAATAGACACAGGGCTCTAAAGATTTCTGATACAAAATGACCAAAATAGGCCACATAATGGCAATTGCAAGTATCTCCTGAGACCTCTTTACCTAAAACCTCAAAGTATAGCCAGACCTATTTTAAAATGATGGAAAATAATCCGTTCCCTTTAGCCTGCCAACATCCACCACTAATGCACTGGGCTAATCATGGCGATCTGAATGGTGACTTCTTTATGGTGTTTTGGATGGGAGAGAGAATATAGGATGACAATGGTAATAATAATAGCTAGCACTCATGTGGCAGTGCTATTCTGAGACCTGTGAGGGAGATACACTGTTCTCTTTCTGTAGCTGGGGACACTGAGGCACATAGTAGTTAAGTAACCAGCCCAGAAACCATATGGATAGCAATCTTTCCTTGTTCTGCTTTGTGCAAGTCCATTCCTCTTTCTAAGTCAACACTTAGGCCTTGAACATTTTTTATCCTCACAAACATTTTAATATTTCTAGTCTCTTCATGTTTTTGTTTGCAGAAAGGTCAACTTTATGCTGCTTGTCATTTTATGTAGGTACAAGGAAATGATTTCTTATCTGCAGCTCTATAGGTCTAGATTCCCTCTAACTACAGGAGAGTAAGCAGTTATTTGATCTGCAATTAAAAAACCTGCTCAGGAGGAAGGTGATGGATACAACTTATTTTATAGACCATCAAGACATTAATCCCTTGACTCATATTGGAACAAAATAACTTCTGCTGAAAAGGTCTCCTGGACCAAGAAATCTATTGAGCTCATTATTGTGAATGTTGGGGCTTTGAAAATAGCTCCTACTGTCATGGTCACTACATGTTTTTCATTGAGAAATGGATCCCATGAGGACTGTTAGATGATAGTCTCAAAAACACTCCCCTTTGTAAGTGCTGGCTGAGTCAAACAAATCACAGAAATCAAAGGTGCATGTAGAGGAAATATCTCCTGAGCTGGACTGGAGGCAGCTACCATTACTGAAAAGTAACCAATCTGGTGGCTGTGGTACATGGAGTGATTGTGCCCCTCCTGTTTCCTGTATAGCTTTCCTCTCAGGTCACCAAAGGCCGTGCAGAGTCAGGTGTCCACTTTGTTGGACCAGGCACACCAATCACCATTAAAAGGAAGGGTCTGCGATCAGAGAGAGGATAGGGAACACTGTCCTAGTTTTCCAGGGCAAAATATTTTGACACCAGGTACTCACCAGCAAACTGTAGAAGAATTCATGGACAAAGAGCCCCATGGCACAGATCAGCAGATATAACAGATGATACAGGAACTCTACATCCAGAACCATGGCACGGTATCCTCTTGTGAATGTTCCACAGTTGCCCACAAAGCTCATTAGAAAGATGATTTTATTACAGACCTGAGAACGGTGACAGGAACAGTCAGATGGCACCGACTATGCCAAACACTTGATGAGAGCTAAGGGAGATTCTCACGCAAATATGTTCTCAGTAACCGTGCCCAACAGAAGCTTCCTTTTGCACCAAGTGCCTATCAAACCCACCAAGAACCATTTTGAGGATCTAAGTCATTTCATTACTTTGCTTTTCAGGCATATTACAAATTACACGGTAGTCAAGTAACTTCATGTGCAACAGTAATCAAGTAGCATTTTGATATGGCAAAAACAAAATTAACACATACTGAGATTATGATTTTCAAAATGAGATATGAATCATTTCTAACATTCTTATATGAGTTAGTCAAACACAGAAGTCACCTCAATCCAAGAACCCTATGATCAGAATGATTAAAAGCATTTTCTGAATTTGTTACATTCTAGGCACTATATGGCTGCAATTTAATGAGAAGCAGGCAGTTCTTATCTTTCATGGCTCCTCAGTTCACAGGGAAACTGAGAATTTTCTTTGAAATAAAAATAGTAAGGGACTTCAGGATGATTTCTATTCCTCTGCCTTCTTTTCTGGGAACAACTTCTCATTTTCCTTTGGGGATCCATCCCATCCTGAGTTCCAGTCCTTGAGATCTGAATGGGGCTCAATCCTGGCCAGTCACAATGTTGTGTTCCCCTGGCTATGACAGTCGGTTCAGGGATAGGCACACGACCACATGGAGCCAATGATATCCACTGAGCTCTGCCCTGGGATTGCAGCAAAAGACAATTTTGTTCTTTCCCACTGACCTTGAACCCGAGATGGTGTAAGCTCTGGAGCTGCCATACCACCGACCCTGAGAGCAGCACCAGAACAGAGGACGAAGAACTAAAAGATGGGAAAGAGGAGTGGGCCCCCATGTCACCGTCTGAGCCCCTGTATTCAGCTAAGCTTGAAGTTAGGCTCTTGATTTCTCCTTTGCTTAGGCTAGCGTGGATTAGGTTTTCTGACACCTACAACTGACAGGGTCTAACTTATCTACTGTATAATAATACAAGAAGTCTTGAAAAAGCTCATGGAAGGATTCGTGTCATTGTTAATTTCCCCGAACCTTTTTAAGTATGCTCCTGTAAGTCTCACCTTTGATAGAAACGCCATGCCTCGAAGTCCCTTTCTAGCAACACGCTGATAGAAAAACACGAATCTGGAGAAGGCTGGGGAGAAAGCTTGTTGGCGGCACTTGGTAAAACCATCTTCTGCTACCCCACCCCCCTTGGCCACAGGTGCCGGGGAGATTCCGCCAGTTAATCTGGTAGGTCAGTGTAAGTGAGCTACTCGGCAATCAGATAAACAAGAAAACCAACACCCCCAGAGAAGTTCTGGCTTTCTCAGACAGGCTAAACATTCTCTCTGCCAGCTTTGTCCAACATGCCAAACTGTGCTAGTGCAGGCTCTTTCATAGGGTGGGGAAGCATCATCGACTCTGGATGATCCACGATGATGGAGTTTCGGGGAGGGGGAGTGGGAGGTGGGAACGGAAGACCACGCTCTGGTTGACAGGACCTCGGACACACCAGGCTCCTGCCATCTTAACAATACAGAAATCCACTTCACTTGAGTCTACTCTGCCCTTGTCGTCTCCGATGCTTCGCCAGCACATATCCCCTATTCGTGGGTGTAGCCTGCGGCCCCCACTTCCTACCGACTCTGCCTCATCAGTCTCAGGTCTGGCTCCCAGCCCCACCTCTCCACAGAAGCGGCTCGCGTGAAGTCTCCCGGGGATTCTGCCAGGGCACACCCAGCAGTCCTCCCCTGTGTGCTCTTGGCATCCATCCCGGCTCCTGGCAGCAGGAGCAGGCTCACCCCATCCTTCTCACCACTCTCCCAGTGCCGGGATTCCATGACACTGCCCTGTCCTCCTCCGGCTCACAGATCACCAACATCCCTTCTCTGTCTCTGTCCACAGCTGCTCCTCCTGCTCCCACATGCTCCATGTGGCTCTTTTTTTTTTTTTTTTTTTTAATTCTCTCTAAATAATTAGCTATTGTGACTGTTTGGGCTCCCCCCCCCCGCTCAGCTTGTGTTGTTATAAATGGTACTTAATTGTCTAATTTGAGTCTGTCCCCCAACTGATCTATGTTGAAGAAGAGATGATCGTGAAATGATTAAAGTCCAGAGAAAAAAGAACTACACAGTCCATAGAAGATGACTTCTGAAATACTGAGTTTTTTCTATGTATATTTCTTTTGTATTCCCTTCATAAACAGCTTTCTCTAGATACGGGTGATACCTACATTCTTCTCCCCAACAACTGACATCTCTTTGTCATTCTGGTCATGCATTTCCAAATGCTAAAGCTAACATTATTAGCATGTCCTGTCACCTCAAGCCCCACAAGTCAACAATTGAAGTGTATGTTCCCTCTGACAACTAGATCTTTGCAGGACCTCATTTTAGTTGGCTGCATTCTTCTCCCAGTCAGTGACTGAAGAGCTGGAGTTACATCAACCTCCTTTATCACTCAATCAAGACAGTAACACATTCTTTGCCTGAAGAAAAGGGCCCAGACCATGTTGCTCCCAGGTGTAAGGCTCTGACTCTGTGCCTGCTACAGGTAATCTTTCCTTCCATCTCTGACATCTGTGCCTTCTTCTTCCTTCTACGCTACGACCAAGACTCAGGCTTGTCACACCTCATCAAAAGCACGGCTAGAGCCCCTTAATGGTCTCCCTGCCTCCCGTCCTGTACACTTGAATCCACATAACACACCACTAGTGAGTGGATAGTTTTCAAGAATACTTCTTTGTACACATCATTTCTTAGCTCAAAAACACTTCAGGCACTTCCCCACTACTGGGAACAGAGTTTCCCAAAACATACTCTATACAACACTAATCCTGAGTGATATTTGATTAAAGTCTCTGGGAAATCCTGCACTAAAAAAAGCCTTTGATTTTGTTTAATCCAGCATTTCCCATATTGATTTGACCATGGAACCTTTTTTCACCTAATATTTATCAACTTGGGACATGCCTTGGAAATGCTGACCTGGAGGATGAAATCTAATTGCTTTATCCTAAAATTCAGAGTCCCAGGTGACTTGTACAGGATCGGTTACCACCATATCACTACATAACCAAAAATGAGGTAAAACTCAACTCTTTATCATCTCTTGCTAATATCCTGGGCTTTCCCACTACTCTACTTTGGTGTACGGGGCCTATAAAAAATGAAATGCTCTTCTCAATTCCTGATTTCTGGCTAGATCCTTTTGCTCTTTAAGATATAACTTCAACCTCCTCCCTAAACTTAACAGCTTGGCATGGTCTCTTCTCCTCTAAGGTCCTTGCTGCCTTTGCTATTTGAATATTCACTTTGGAACATTTACTGTTGCACTGAATTACTATATTAACCGTATTTTGCAATATCTCTTCCATTTTTGTACAGGGACCTCAGCTTCCTTACAAGATTAGGGCAGAAACCTCTGGAAGATTTTTTTAGATCACCACAGTGCCTCACATGTCCAAATTTTCTCCTTCCTTTTGCCGGGAAACCTTTCCAATTTATGGTTTTATATCAGCTGTATCTGCTTCCTAAGAATTTTCCTATAGACACAGTTGGCTTCTATCCTTCAACTGTAGTGAAACAGCATTTACAAATGTCACCATTAACTTTTAAATAACTGTCCCTGACTCTCTTCTTACCTCTCACCTGCCCCACCTCTGATTAAAGAGTCCCTTTTAGCTGCCCCTCTTTTCTATGTGGCCCTCGCCAGAAGTGGATGCTGTGACTTATTGGCCAAAATCTCCTGTCCCAACAAACCTTTGACCAGATTGGCAAAACTAACTTAAATCTCAACTGCTATCACTCTTCCTGCCTAATTCCTGAGAGGGATGTTCTCCAGAAATGAGACTGTCCAAGCCCAAATGATACATTAAGAGGCTCACCAGGGAGATGTCCACCTGCAGCAATCTTTTGCTCCTGCTATTTTAACAGCTGATCAAAACAGTATTTTTCTGGACAGAAAGCAAAGGCCAAGATTCTAGGGACCAGAATGGAAGGCTTCCTATTAACCCACAAACCAAAAAGTGGCCCTGTAGATATTCATACTTACATTGAAGGCACCCAGAAGAAATAACGTAGGTTGTAACCCAACTGAAAATATCAATCGGAGTATTGTGGAAGCAATTAAGGCCCGGATGCCATGGGGCTTGGGGAGAGCAATGACGATGGCCAGGGAGATGAGCATGGCGGTCCACAGCAGTCCTGACCAGTGTGGCTCTAATGTTCCTGGAATGACAAACGGGGCTCTTGTGAGTCAGTGCTTTCACTGAGTGTAGGGACAGACCAAAACAAGTTTAAATGACATGTTTTTCCAATCACCTCTCTGGGCTCATGTGTCCCAACTCTCACCTCAAATTCTCTGCCCTGGACATAACCAGTCCCATCAGTGCTTTCTGATCTCAATCCCTCATGCATGCTCCTTCTGCCTGGGAAACTCTCCTCTTCCTGAAATTCATCTTAAGTCATAGCTTAGATTCTGCCTCTTCTGGGAAATCTTCTGACAAACACATACCAGGTGTTCTCTCCTCCACGTCCTCTGCACCTTTCGGTATAATAGTATCCTACAGGCTACTATTTTCTAATGATCAGTTTACTTGTATCTCTCTCTCTGTCTCTCTCTCTCTCTCACCAGACTCTAAATTCCTTGAGTGAAGTACCTGGCGCCTCACAGGCACCCACCAATGCTTGTTCAATAAATAAAACTCACACGTGTGTCACGCTTCACTCTTAGGGAAGGTGAACTGGAAGCCCAAAGTTAATTTCTATTAGAAGTATGCAAAGGAAAATCACCTGCCTGGATCAGATTTCTTCAAGGGAAGGAGGAAGGCAACTTCTGTATCATGAGCATCACCCTACGACTGGATTATCCCTGCAGTCGGAGAGTTTATACCAGTTTTTGTCATCTCTTGCTACTGCAAGTTCTATTTAGAGTGTCCCATGAGATGGCTTGGTTATGTAACATGAGCCAACATGGCTAAAAATACAGCTCTGTAAAACACTCATTTTAAAAAAAAAAATCCCTGTTTCAAATGCTGTCACATTTTAGAGTCCTTCAGATGTAAACAAGCAGCACTACATGATTAAGGCCACTTATATAAAGGAGTCTCACTTCCTCAGAACTGCTGGTTGTAGCAGCACCCAGGAAGAGACCAGCTTTGCAGGTTACGACTCTTCCACGAGCTGCTGACTGCCCTGGTGCATTTAGTCCATGCCAGCTGAGATGCATTTGCTTTCTGAAAACTGTTCCCCCAAACCCAGCCAGTTAGCCCTTCCCTTTTGATTAGAAAAGCTGATTAGAAATGGGCACAAAGAGGCAGAGCTTTTCAGAAATTCACGAGGTGGATATCAGGGCATCTGAGTCACTTTGTGCCCATTTAACAATTGATAGACATCCTATTAAGCCATTTACATGGACTGTCATTTATTTAACCATCTCGACCACCCTATGAGGTTTGTACCGTTATCTCCATTTTACTCTAAAGGAAACTGAGTCTCAGGTTACATATCTTGCCCCAGGGGGACACAGCAGATGGCTGGAGACTATATGCCTCTGAAGTCCACAGTCCTTAACCACCATTTAAAAAATCCACCCATTTTAAGTGTACAATTTGGTAAATTCTGGCAGTTTATATAGTTGTGTAACCACCACATGTAACTGTCACCAAAATCAAGATACAGAACATTTTTTATCACCCTAAAAAGTTTTCCTGTGCCCCTTTGGGGTTGATGCCTTTCCCTGTGCCTGCCTACCCTGGCCTACCACTGATCTGCTTTGTCACTATAGTTTTGTATCTTCTAAAATTTCATAAAAATGGAAAAAACAGTCATATTAGTCTTTTATGTTTGACTTCTTTCACTGAACAAGTTTATAAGATTCACCCAGGTTATTGTATCAATATTTTGTTGCTTTTATTGCTAAGTAGCTAGCACTCTGCAGCATTGAGTTACCACAATTTATTTATCTGCTCAACAATTAAAGAGCATTTGGGTTCTTTCCAGTTTGGAGCTATTACGAATAAGGCTAATAAAAAGTACAAATCTTGGGGCAGACATATGTTTTCATTTCTTTTGGACAAATATATGGAAGTAGATTGCTGGATCCTAAGTATGTGTTTAACTTTATAAGACACTACCACACTGTTTTCTAAAGTGACTGTACCATTTTGCCTACCTACCAGCAGTATATGAGAGTTCCACTTGCTCCACATTATCACCAGTACTTGGTACTGTCAGTCTTTTTAATTTTAGCCATTCTAATAGGTTTCTAGGGGTACTTAATTGTGGTTTTAATTTGCATTTCCCCAACAACTAGTGATGCTGAACATCTTTCCATGTGCTTACTGGCTGTATGTATACCTTCTTTTGTAAAGTGTCCGATGAAATATTTGCCCATTGTTTTACTTGGGTTGCATTTCTATTATTGAGTTGTGTTACATTTTCTGAATATAAGCCTTTTACCAGATATATGTTTTGTAAATATTTTCTCCCAGTCAGATATATGTACTTTAATGTTTGTACTTTAAATATTTCTAGTAGCTATACTTGTAACAGCTCCAAACTGGAAAGAACCCAAAGGTTCATTAATTGTTGAATGGATAAATTGTGGTATATCCATATATCAGATAGATGTTTTGTAAATTCTTTCTTTCATTTTCTTAAGTGCTTAATCACCATTTTAAACTGACACTTAAGATCTTAGTATAATAAATGTAACCAGTACAATGTGTGTTCCTAAATCCTAAAGAGGCCAATGTTCATACCTGCTGTCTCCCCACCATAAAATAGTATTACAAAACACTGCTAGGTTCCAAAAATCCAACTCTAGAAAGACATCTTTGAGAAAGGTGAAGAAATCTGAATTTAGACAGATTATTATAGAATTTGCTGTTACTTTTGTTAGATATGATAATGGCATAGTGATAATAGTTAGAGATGCACACTGAAATATTTATGAACAAAAACAAGATGTTTAGGCTTCTTTAAAATGTTTCAGAAAATACAGTAGGGGAATAGATGAAATGATTGGCAAAATGTTAATTGTTAAAGCTGGACTGATAGGTACATTATACTATATATAGTTCATTATACTGCTCTTTTTATTTGTGTATATATTTGAAATCCTCAATAACAAAAATGTTTAAAAAGTAGTACTATATTTGCTTTAATCATCATAGCATGCTCAAAAATTTAGTAGGAAGTCTGAAGCTGCCCAAGTTGCATGCTTTAGAAAGACTATGTGATTCATCTGTTATGAAAGAAGGAAGGGGAAAATGCTACTTATGAAAAGGAGCTTTTAAGGGCACCAGTGTTCTTGGCAACTGCAAACGTTGTAAGCCACAGAACCACATTAGCACACACAACAAGGCCATTACAAACATTTGAGAGGGACATCTTGGAAATCTTGTTTTTAGGATGCAACAAATCTTAACAAATATTGATCTCAAAGAAGTATTTTCAGATCAACAAACCAAATCTTGTTTCTTGGCAGGGTTAATACAACACTCCTCTTGAAGATGGTTAGCAGTAAGTATAGAAAATGCCCTCAACACACCTTATAAAAGGGAAAAAAAAAATCCCTCTGAAAGTGAATTGATGTGTTTGAGACAATTTCAGTGACTATATAACAGAAAGGGCTTCCATAGGTCAGATCAACCTCCCTCCCCTCCCAGGAGATTTAAGTATGCTTTCAGTTTAGTCTATCAGCATGAAGTTCTAAAGCCCTTGATTCCAAAACAGGAAGCCTCGACTCCTACAGATCAGCTAGAATTGATGTCACATTCAGAAAACACCATTTTGGAGTTGAAATGGCCCTTAGCAATCATCTCCTCTAGTGGGTCTCAAACTTTTGATGGGCAAGAATTAGGATGCTCCAGAGATCCTGACTAGGTTGGCAATGATTTTTTCCTAAATGCTACAGGAATTTCTGAAGCCATATCAAAGTTTCACAACCACTGTCTGGATTTAAGCATTTTTTTTTTTTGTCTTTTTTCGTGTCCAGCAATGGACCGCAACCCTCAGTGTCGCGCCCGTACCGGACCAGGACCGGCAACGGGATCGCAACCCTCGGTGCTGCGCCCGCCCCTCGCTCAGCCAGTGAGCGGGAACCGGTCTGTATGTGGGATCCGAACCCTCGGCGGGAGCGCCACCGCGCTCCCAAGCGGCACACTGTAGCAGTGCGCCACTGGGCTGGCCCTAAGCATCTTTTAATACAGAGGATAACAGGACTAACTGAAGCAGCTTTCCCAGAGTCACACAGCAAATGAGCAGCAGCAGAGTCAGGCCTAGATAGTAATTGTCTGGACTTCTTACGTCTAGGAATTCTACTACCGGATGAAGCTTATCACTGAAGAGAGGAGGGGGGTTGTCAACTCACTGTCCCCAGGCAGTGGCCTGAACACTGCCACAAATGACCAGTGAAGAAAATGGTCAAGGTGAATAATAAAAATTTGAAATGTTTTCAAAGAAATGGAGAATAAATGAAAACACATCCAAAGTAATGGTTGAATAATCTGCTATGATGAGCATGACAACCTCTCTGAGGTGAAAGGAGACCTGGGCCTGTGTCACAGCCAGCTGAGCTCTTTGGTGACCCCTTCATGGCTCACATGTCTGCTGACTGGCAGTTTGGTTAAGGGGGACAACCCCTCAGAGAACACCTTGCAGCCCTGTGTTCCTGTCAAATCTTTTCAGACATAGGCACACGTCTCCTGACATGGGAGTTAGAAGAAAAATCCCCCTGAACTCGTGTTTAGGTCATGCTTTTGAGGGAAAAAAAAAATCATTCAAATAGTTCTTTCAATGCAACTTAAGACCAAATAGAAAAGCTAATTCCTCAAATGGGTAAGTTAGATATAAAAGCATTACATAATATGTCATACTTTGAAATTGATCCTTAGCTTTACTTTTATTTCATATACATGAGCTGTTTGAGTTGGTGTCTGCATTATTAAGATAAAGAGCTGAGCCTGAAACTTACTCCTGCACTGTTTTGTGTTTTACTTTATCCATTATGTTTCACACAAGGTACTTCCTGGCAGGTTGTTACCTACACATGAAGGTACTTCAAAAAGTTTATGGAAAAATAGAATTAAATCTTTCCATGAACTTTTTGAAGTACTCTCATATGTGATGTAATCTGCCAAAAAGCTCTGATGAAAAATTTAGCTGAAAAGTAGACCTCCCAAGAGACTGTAGTGGGTGTCAGAACAAGGGCCGTAGATGTATAATGGAAGAAGAGCTTTTAATGCCTGCCACCTGAACCCCACAGTTTGAATGCCTCTAGAACGCCATTAACCCATTGAGGGACCCTAAACAGAAAATGTCCCTCCTGAATGGTCTGCCTTTTTTCAACAAAATGTGTACAGTGCTCATACGGACGACTGGAAGGATGAAGTGCTTGCACAGACTGCACTGGAAGGTGATAGTGGATGGGGGAAATCCATAAAGAACATGGACATTTTGTTTTACTATGTGAATAATGGCATGCAGCTTTTAATAGACTAAACATTCAAGATGCAAAGTCTGCACTTATTCAAGTCCTGTCTCCCTTCTGACCTGTGGCAAAATACAAAAATTCCAGAGATTTCTTACAAATTTTTCAGTATGAAATCCATTGCAGAAGTATGGTGTGGGAAAACATATACTGGACTGAGCATCAAAACAGCTATGTTTTAGAGTTAGCTTTACCACTAACTAGCTGTGCGACTTTGGCTAAATCTCTCAACTTCTCTGAGACAGTTTCCCAATATATAATAACGAGGGAGCTAAGATGATTTCTCACAGGTTTAATAGTGTATAGCTTCTCTTTCTTTTCTGATTAAAAAAAAAAACTTAGATACAAAGTTAGATTTAAAACTAAATCTGTGGTGAAAGCTACAATTGAATCTTGTGTGAAAATGGATGACTGGGATCCTAAATATTGCACCAGTATTTCCAGGAACCTTATTTCAGATGCAGGTCATAGCCTTTCCTGCTGCAGCTAGCAGTTTCCTTGAAATTAAAGATATGGTTACCTCCTCGGACTCCTTTAAATGGGTAGAAAAATGCCACCAGCAGGTTCATCAGGACGGCCAGGTTAAATGAAATGCTGCTCCAGAAGGACATGTTGCGGGCACACCAGTACAAAACGGGCTGGGCTGTAGAAACAAGGTCAAAACCACATGAGGTTAGACCGCTGGGAATTTGACATGGCCCTTCCTCCTGTTCCGCCCCCACAAGTCCACTTTTGTTTCCAGTTTTTACCACAGCAGTAAAAATGATCATTTGTGTTGAAGTTGACACATAATGACATTGGACTGGTTGATTTCTGTGTGGAGTACTTACTGGAAAAGAAGATGTACTGGGAGACAAGGAAGAAGAGAAGAGAAAAAGAAAAGTTGGAACATCTAAAAACCCTGCATGCCACAGTCAACACTGTCAGTTACGGAATCTGGGATTCATGCATTGAGTCCTTGGTTACCCCCAGGCTCCAGGGCCTGAAGAGATGCCCAGAGAGACCCAGGAGTTCAATCAACTTTGTAGGAGTGTGGGGACCTGAGGTAGGGGAAGGGGGAAGAGATGGTATTCAGAGCTAGCCAGCTAGGCTCATACTAGGACTGGTACCATTTCCACATTCCCCCTTTGCACAAAATATCCCACTAACTTGCTGGTGCCTAAAAGCAAGACAATGACCCCTTTTCTGACACCCAGTCATTTGCCATTTCCTGAGTCTGATGATCGCTCTTGGGTATGGAGCACTGGATGTGTGAGCTGCTGACCAGGTGGTCAGCAGCAGAGTTCCCATTTCCAAAGGCTACAGAAGGGAAAGGATGTGGTACCAAAGCCATCACAAAGGAGCAGGAGACACTTTCGCTATTGCTGCCATCTCAATCCACTGCTACCTACAGGTGATACCACGCTGGCCGGGCATTCTCAGTCATAGAACGACAAACCTGTGGCTATACTTTGGTGCAATGGTGCTTCCTTCTCCCTGAACTCTTTTTCAGTGGTACCTTATACTTAGGTGCCTTATGCTCAAAAATAAATGTGGTAGGAATAATTTCAGTGTCCATGCCAGAGGCAAAGTTTCCAAAAGATAGTCTCATTCAATGTTATCTCCCTCCAGAGAGAAGCATGGAATATGTGAAAATGGATCTCTATTGTGTATTTCTTGTTCCCAATGAAGTCATCATTTAACTTTAGGACAGCAGCCAGTGACAAATCCAACGGCCCTATAATGATGCTTACAGCAGCAGCCAAGCTTGGAAGCTTCCATCCAAAATAAAGTTACGATACAATTAAACAGAGCCCTGGGTGATTTAATAATTGCTTGAATCATGTTTGCACTCGGTAACAGGCGATGTTTCCAAACTGTAGAGATTTAGAGCTATGAGCAATCTTCTAGTTTAAAATCCCACATTTCATAAATGAGGGAAACTGAGGCCCAGCAAAGGGCAGAAGCTGTGAGAATCGTGTCACCCAGGTTAGTGATTCTCTGGGGTTAGCAACAGGGATAAAGATAAGTGGCTCGTGCCCTCATTCAACAGAGGAGTGGACCAGGACCCAGTCAAGTGCTAGGTACAATTTAACTTTTTAGTAAGTTCATTGCTGAAGCAAATTTAAAATGAGAAATCATCTGCTCTGGAAACAGCTATTGGTGTTTCTTCTGGAACTGAACCCTTTTTGTAGTCTGAATATGAAAACTCCAGAAGAGGCAGAAGAGATGAACAGCAAAGAGCTGATCAATGCTGAAGCTGAGAGATGTGGCATGGGAATTTATAATATTCTTCCCACACTAGTGTATGTATAAAAAGCTCATAGTAAGGGAGGGGGGAGGAACTGGCAAACCTCAGTGATGGTCTATTTGAGCCAACATTCTCTTTAGAGGGAACTCTCTGTATGAAATGTGAGAGTGTCTACCGCAGAGTACTTCAATACAGTTGTAATAAATGGTCTTCGACTATGGCATATAGTTCACAATTAAATCTTTTTTTTTATAAGGTTAGTATTCTACTTAAGTTATAGTGTCATTTTGAATCTAAACAAACATTTAGTCCTTCAAATCAACTGGGTATTTATCCAGGTGCAAGAAGATACTTAGAGACCAACCTTGACTCCAGTGTCTTTTATTTCCTGTGGCATATGGAACTATGTCCCTGTATCTACCTTTCCAGACCCTTCTCCCATTTCCCATTCTCCATACACTCGGCCTTTGCATCCCAGTCTAGTGGTGGTTCCTTGAACACACCCTGTCCTCTCCAGCCTCTGTGTGCTCGGTGATACTGCGAAATGTATATTGGTCTTCATCCCTGTTTCCTGGCACAAAAAGAATTCCAAAAATCCTTGGAATCTTCTAAGTGATGTGTCTTTTTTTATGTTAATGAGTTGACTGAAGGATGGCAGCCCCTAGGTAGCTTCAGGGTGGGGGCTGGTCACTTGGAAAGACCAAGGCAGGATTAGAAGGTTGGGACTTTCAGCCCCACCCCCAACCTGGGTGGGGAGTGTGGCTAGGGCTGAAGGTTAAGTTTGCCAATAGCCCATGATTTAATCAGTCATGCTTCTATAATGAAACCTGCTTAAAAACCCAAAAGGGCTGGGTCCAGAGAGCTTCTGGATAGCTGAACATGTGGACGTTCTGGAGGGTGGCACACCCAGGTAGGGCACGAAGCTCTGCACCCCTTCTCCCATACCTCGCCCTGTGTGTCTCTTCATTGTATCCTTTGTAACATCCTAAACAACAAAACTTATGTAAATATAAGGAAGTGTTTCCCTGAGTTCTGTGAGCCATACTAGCAAATTAACTGAGCCGAACCAGAGGAGGGTGTTGTGGGAACCCTGATTTATAGCCAGTCAGTCAGAAGTACAGGTATAACAACCTGGGGCTTGCAATTGGTATCTGAAGTGGGGGTGGGGGTGCTGTCTTGGGGACTGACTCTCAACCTGTGGGATCTGAGGCTATTTCCAGGTACAGGGTGTACGAACTGAACTGAATTACAGGACACCCAGCTGGTGTCCACTGTAGAACTGACAGCCTGCTTGGTATGTGGGGAAAACTCCTCACACATTTGGTCACAAAAGTCTTCTGTGCTGATTATTGAGTGAGAGTACAAGAAAAACTGAGTTTGTTTTTTCCTATGTATTATCAGAACTCGCTTTGTGGTGATTTAAAAATATGTTCAATTCTTTGATACTCCTCCCCTTCAGGAGGTAAAGCTTAGTTCCACATTTGGTCACAAAAGTCTTCTGTGCTGATTATTGAGTGAGAGTACAAGAAAAACTGAGTGTGTTTTTTCCTATGTATTATCAGAACTCGTTTTGTGGTGATTTAAAAATATGTTCAATTCTTTGATACTCCTCCCCTTCAGGAGGTAAAGCTTAGTTCCCCTTCCTTTTGGGTGTGGGCTGGACTGAGCGACTTGCTTCTACTGAACAGAACGCAGTGGAACTGTGGGTGCACGACTTCCGAGACTGGGTCATAAAAGGCACAGCATCTCCCTCCTTCCTCTCTCTTGAATCCATCGTGTGCTCTGAGGAAACGAACTGCTGTTTATGAAGACACTCAGCAGAACTATGGAGAGGTCCAGGTGGAGAGGAACTGAGGCCTCCTGCCAACACCCATGTGAGAGAGCTGAGAAGTGGATCCTTCAGGTCCAGCCCAGCCTTCAGAGGACAGTAGCCCTGGAAGACGTCTTGGCTGCAACCTAATGAAAGACCCTGGGCCAGAACTACCCAGCTAAACCACTCCCAAACTCCCAATCCCAAGAAACTGGGCAAAAACCAAATATTTATTGTTTTAAGCCACTAAATTTTATGGTAATTTGTTACATAGTGATAGAAAGCAACTAACATACCTTCTGTAGGAGGCAAAATAATGTCCCCTCCCCAAGATGTCCCCATCCTAGTCCTTGGAACCTGTGTTATCTTATATGGTGAAAGAGACTTTGCAAGTGTGATTAAGTTAAGGCTCTTGATGGAGAGATTATCCTGCACTATCTAGGTGGGAGCAGTGTAATCCCAAGGAAGTGTCCTTATTATTGAAAGACGGAGGCAGAGAAGAGTCAGAGTCAGAAAAGAACACATGACAATAGAAGCAGGCCTCGGAGAGATGCAATTGCTGACTCTGAAGATGCCAAAAGCAAAGGAATGCAGGCAGCCTCTCAAAGCCGGAAAAGGCTAGAGCCTCCAGAAGGAACACAGCCTTGCTAATGCATTGAGTTTAGCCTGCTGAGAACCTTTTCAGACTTCTGACCTCAGAACTGCAAGATAACACATTTTTGTAGTAAGCTTCAAAGTCTGTGGCAATTTGTCACAGCAGCAATAGGAAGCTAACACATCTACACTTCCCCCAATCTCTCAAACTGTGTCTATCCAAGTCCTATCTACCCTTGTAGATGTTATTCAGATCCCACCTTTTCTCTGAAGCCTTCCTTTCCCACACTTCCACGATGTGCCATTGCTTGATTATAGCCCTGGTCATAATTGGCTTGGTATTACAGCCTTAAAAATATGCCTGTGCTGTCTGCCCCTCTCAGATACTAAGTTCCCACAGGAAGGAGTCATAGCTCACACACTGCTGAATTCCCCACTGTACTTTGTAGCATGTCTTCTACTTACTAGGGGCTAAAAGTTGGCTGGATCAATAATACACCTGCTACATCATAGCAAAAAGATGGAGTACCATGATCCTGGACAGGCAGAGCAATTTAAATAACTACAACCCAGTGCATTTCTTGGTAATACGCTTTCCTAGTTTTTTGTTTGTTTTAAAGGAACTGGGCCTTGCTGGATGACTTTCACTCTATATACATATAAACAAATTTTTATTTATTAAAAGAATTTACAAGCTCTTTTCCGATGAGCATGATAACCATGAGGGAAAACCTCAAGCAAGAATGTGTCAGCATATGCAACTCTGCCTTGATTTCCTCTTTCACTGTCTTCTAGTTTTTTCCAAGGCCAGTTTCACTTCACCAGCACTAGGATCTTCAGAAGGTGTCAGAGAGGGATGGTCGAGAGAGGGTGTGAATGCACAGAAGGCTCTGTGTGTGTGTGTGTGTGTGTGTGCGCATGAGCACACTGCATAAGTAAAACACGGAAGAGCGTTCTGGAGAAGAGAGCAATTGGGTCTTTTAATACTTGCAGAAGAAAACACTAAGCAACACAAAGACCTCACTTTGTGTCTCAGTCCTAGCTACAGATTATTCAAAGCACAGGTGATCCTCTGTGCAACATTCAGGCAAAGTAAAGCAGCTACATGTATAAGCCAGAAAAATCTTTTCTTTAGACTTAGAAGAAGAATAAGTACGTAGAGGGGAAAAATGCATTTCATTTTAACTGCACTTCTAATGAGTATATTTCTCCCCTCCCTAAATATGGAAATCATGTTTAATTCCATTAGAAGAAGAATAAGTACGTAGAGGGGAAAAATGCATTTCATTTTAACTGCACTTCTAATGTGTATATTTCTCCCCTCCCTAAATATGGAAATCATGTTTAATTCCATTATTATTTTCGATTTCTCTCTCACCAGCAGATAGCTTTGAAGCCAATTAAAAGTTTTCAGTTGACAACTATAGTTGTGTTTAAGCTTCATTGAAACAAATACTATTTTTCAAAAAAAGACTGAAATAAGAGAAAGTACTAGCTACAAGGCAATATAAATCTTAAAATAATAATGAGATGGCCATTCTGGGAAAAATAAATCAGGTTGTCTTAATGCCCTATTTTATAGGTAAGGGTCTAGGAGCAGTTAAGTCATTTGCCTGGGACCACAGAGCCAGTGGGTGGCAGAGTAGAATGAACTCAGATCCCCCACTCCCTGGGGCTGAGTTCCTTCTACCAACCCAGGCTGCAGTCAACATCCCAGAAAGAGCAATGAGGAGATTCCTCACACCTCACCAGAAAAGGTAAAAACCTTTTTATGGGTTCATAAGCCTTTTGGAGAGCCTATAAATTACATACATTATATATATATGTGATTTGATAACACAATTCTGAGAAAATAAATGTATCTGACCAGTATCAGCAGACACATACCCCGATAAGGTTAAAATTACACGTTATTAACTATTGTGGAGGTTTGTATACATGAATTCATGATTATCCCCTAAAACTAGAATTATGGAATATGCAGTAAAAGACAAAAAGCAACAAAGAAGAAGTTGTTCCCTATATAACATAAGAGCTGAAAATATGCATATGAAATGGTTGGGTCTATGTCTACTTTTTGGCGGGGAAGTTAATCTTTTTTCTCTTACTGCCCGAGCACGGTGCTATGTAAAAGTTTCAGTGTTCCTGATATTACTTGGGCTGGGAGAGTCTTAGAGGACTCCACAGTAGCCATGTGGACACACTAATAGTGGGCAGAATCACACCCTAAGTCTTCTGAGGTCCATACCAAGGAGGACAGGCTTACTGACCTGCTAGTTCCCTTGGCTCCTTGGTCGGACACCAGACATGTTGCTGGGTGAGAGATGGGTTTGGCCCAGCAAGACATTTTATGATGTTTTAAAGTGCTAGACAATGAGGTGGCCCTTAGAGATGAGCAAGAACAGAGTGGGGGGAGGTGGCGGTGGCTAACCTGCCTGCACAACCCTCTGCCTTGAGCCAAATCTAGGCATGCAGGCGGCAGGAAGAGAAGTGGAAAAGAAAAGATCCACAGCAAGGGAGGCTGGTCTGTTCTTGCTCAGACTGGCAGGGATCAGGGAGAGGACAAAAGCTCCCAGAAACTGAGCTTCAACATAGCCTCACCCTCACCCCAACCCGCCCTACAGAAAGAGCCTAAAGTTCGCTACTGTAGCAGGAATCTGGGGTTTCAAATAAAAAGCCTGGCTCCTGACTAACAGATAGAAATGGAGCACCATCCTTTTTAAGTTGGTCACAACAGTTGGTGCCAAGCGTACTGTTGGTACTGAAGGATCCCATTAAAACCCTAATGAAAACCAAGAGCGGAGAAGCCCTCTGGGGAAGCCCTATAAATGTGTTTTAGATGAGTAATTTCAACCCGACTGGCTGGGCTTCTCAATGGGACTCACTAGTAAGCAACGATGCATCTTATGTGGCAAATGATTCTGCTGCCTTTAAAATGATTTCCAGTCTAAAACCCAAGCTACTCTATAAAAGAGAAAATACCAGAGTCTCTGGAGCAGGTGTGCTTGTAAATGAGCCATCACACTGTGAATTTCCCGCTTAAGTGAACCGTCCTGTGAGCTCAAGGGCCTGGCCTTTTCTCCCCTCCTTTTTTCTACATCGAGATACCAAAAAAAGGGCATTCACAGAGTCTTCCATAGAGCTCCCCAGTCAAATCAAGTCAGATGCTGCATGAAGGAAGCCTTTTTGGGGGAGCTGCCACACTTAGGCTGGGGCCCCTTCATCAGCCACAGAAGTGTCTATGACCTGCCGGTTATCAGAGGTGGAAGGTATCATACATTGCACCAGCCTGGCTCCTGCTCGGAGATAAACACGCCATCGAGCCCAGCCCCAGAGCCAAAGCTCCCTGTGGTGTCCCGGAAGTACATGACCCACCTCGCAGTTTCTTCTGCCAGTTCATTTCATTGAAGAGGTCTTCGGACCGCAGGAAGAAATCGTTGATCTTGCTGCCTTGCTCGTCCCTCTCTGTAGTGTAATATATTCGTAGTTTTGACTCCTTGGTTAGGAATTCACATATGCTGGGCACAGGGAAGACGATCTGTTCCATTGTTCTATCTAATCTGACAATCTAGGGTGAAAAACGGAGATTAAACACTCATCTTCAAAACGTTCTACTGAGACTACTTGCTATTGGTGGTGGACTCAGTGTCCAAGATCGGGTACAGTATGATCTTCTCTGATTTTATAACCCCAGACTAGGCTCTCTGTCTTTTAGAGTTACATAAAAAAGAGTTTTGGTAAGCCTGTAAGAGTATTTTTCCAACCTCCCATCCATTAATTTTAATGTGACCAACTTTTATCTGGAATACTTTACACTGTGTTTTGTGTACGTTTTCAGATGAGGCTGGTATTATCCAATAGAACTTTCTGTAATGTTGGAATAGTTCTGTATCTGTCCTGTCATATATCACTAGTCACATGTGACCACTGAGCACTAGCACATGGGGCTAATGCAACTGAGGGACAGAGTATTTAATTTTTTTTCATTTTTATATAAATAGCCTCACATGGCTAATGGCTATCATATCAGATGGTGCAGTGCTAGGCAATGGTACAACATCACATCTAAGAACCATTCTCAAATAGAAAAATTGGGTTATTTTCCCTAGAGAGAAACTTTAAAGAGAGATCTTTGGTTTATATCCAGTTGCAATGAGCTCCTACCTCATACTGGTCACAGCGTCTAAAACGTACAACACATGAACCAATGTGCCCATTTGACTTTGGGAGAGCACTCACTGTTCTTTAAACTATCTTTGTTGGGCCCCAGGGGTGGGCACCTTACAGGTTTTCCTCCATGCCCTTCCTGGACTGGCTCAATCCCCAGGGAGGAGGTAGTCTCGTCTGTATTGTTCAAATTCTAGGACACTCTATTGAGTCACAGTCCTGGGGGGTAGAGATTTCAAAGGGCCTACAGGCTGCAGTACAATAGAGGCATGGCCTCTCTTTATTCTTCCTCCCAGAGGCTGGAGAAGTCAGGCGAGAGTTGGGGCCAACTCACTTTACAAGAACAGTTGGTTCTTACTCTCCCAACACCTGTGTTCCCTGATGCAGCAAGACAGGTGACTCAGGTCAAGTTGCAGCGGGAAACTCTCTCAGAGGTGAGACAGGTTCCCATAGCCCTGGCTCCATACAATCTGAAGGATGTGGTCTTCAGACCAGCAGTTCCCAAATCTAGCTGGAGTTCAGGTTTCAGGAAGCATAGTTATCATACTGATTCTGGTCCATAATCTAACCTCACTTAACTAGAGTTGTGATGTGGGGATTAATGACTACAACCTGCATATGAACTAGCTTCCCAGATGACCTTGCTGTACACACAGGCTCGGGATCAACTATGCAGTCACCTGCTACCAAGAGACTGCCTGCTTCACACAGTCAAGAGGGCTCCAGGTCAGTCCTTCCTTCCACTGAAGGACTATGATCAGAGATGTGCAGCTGGGTTCAGGAGGGGAAGGAATAGACGAGGAGGCCTTGTGGCAAGAATTGAGTTCCAGACCCCAGGGCTATCCAGAGTAACTCACCAGGGTGAAGACACTGGGATCTGCAAAGAAAGCCCCAGGTAGTAACAAAGTGTTCCCTGGCTTTGCACAGTTTACTCCCTAGGGAAACTTGAAGAGATAGATGGCTGGCCACAGGCAGGACTTGAGAGCTAGGGACATCATGACTGGCTATTTCTCTCTACCATTTAAGATCTATCCACACCTCTTTCTCAGTAGACTCTTTAGACTCAGTGGACTCAGTTGACTCAGTAGACCTCTTTCTCAGGGAGTCACAAGAACATACTCTGGTCCTTCTCCCACCCATAACAGGCTGCATGACCTTGTTCACATCTCTTCCCCTGATCAAGCTTCAGTCTTTTCCCCAGTGAGCCAAGGAGCTCAATGAGATGATCTCCAAGGTTCTGTTCTCTGACTTTCCATTGCAGACATCTACTTCAAAAAGTTCATGAAAAGATTTGTATTACTTTTAATTCTATTTTTCCCTGAACTTTGTGAAGAACCTTCATAAAGCTTGTTTTTTAAGGCTCCAGAGGACGGAGCTGGCCCTTCGGTCAAACTTCTAGGCATTAACGATTAATAAAGAATATTTGCTCACATTGACTGGCATGGTTGACTAATAGTGAAATGACGCATTTTATGAGGACAGCCCAGACATCTGAGACATCAGGTAAGAGCATATTCTTGAAAAGTCTCCATCCTGAACATTTTTTATTGCCCAAAGGAGTCTTTAAAATCTTCAACACCTTCAAAAATCTTTGTTCCAACTCCAATCTTGAACTTGTGCATTTCCTCATTAAGAAAACAAGGCACATCACCACTTACTGCCTAGAGCCTGGAGATGGAAGTCTATGTTCTCTCAGATGCTAAGAACAATGCAGGTGACATAAAACGCACCCACGGACTCAGGGGTCAGACAGACCGGTATTAAACTTGCAGCTCTGCCACTAATAAATGGCCAAGCGACACAACCTTGCTGAGCCTTATTTCAGAGTCTTCCCATATGCAAAATGGAGATGATACCATTTGGTTCACAGAGGATTCCTAAGGTTTTGTGTTTCTGCTTTAAGTGCGGATCTGATCGGAACACTGCCCTGGGTAATACTCTCCCCCACTGCTGAGGGTGGAGTCCAGACTTCTTACGAGGACAGCTGACAAGATCCCTCAACACCTGGGCTGCCTGCTTTTCCTCTCTCTTGCTCACTGAACTCCAGTCCCAGGGGCCTTGCTCCAGCTCCTCCCCTTACCTAGAATTTTCCCACCTCCAGGCTTCATTATTCCCCCGTCTGAAAAGCTCCACCTCTGCCCATGTCATTCCTATGTTAAGGTCTGTGCTTAGATGCCATTTCCTCAGAACAGGCCTCCTTGACACCACAGTCTACACACAGCAGATCCCTCTGCTGGACCGACTTATAGTGCCTTCCCCTTGTCCTTGTGGCCTTGTCAGAGCTCGTAATGAAAGAGATTTCCTTGACTTCATTTGCTCAGTGTCTGCCTCCCCATGAGGCCTCATGCAGCAATCGTGACTGTCTTGGCCATCACTGGACATCCAGCACCTTGTGCAGGACCCAGTATATAGTAGGTGCTCACAACATTTTTATTGCTCAGCCCAATAAATCCATGCCAGCCCCAGCACACCGAAAGCCTTGATGCAGGCCTGTGCCTGAAGCCTCGACTCTCCCGGGCCCTGAGCTTACTCTGCTTTTACCTCTATCTGTGCCGTGTGCTTGGCATAAAACTCCAGAGCTTCATCTCCATCCACTTGGCCACCGGGTTTCAGCATGGTCTGGAGTTCTTTGTTATGCCGAGCCAGCTAGAACACAAGCACAGAATTACAGGGGGTCAATGTCTCTTTGCAACAGGAACACACAGGCTCCTAACTCTGGGAATGAAAAATGCATAATAACCAGCAGCAAGCTGAGGGGTGAAGGTGCCAGGAGGCTGCTATGTTCCATCGAGGTGTGCTTTGCACAGTGGCTATTTTGGGAGCCTGGCAGAAGAGCATGGAAAGCTCCTGCTCATGCACAGTCCCACTTTCCCCTGACTTCTTTAGCCAGACAGGAGGAAGATGGGGTTTTCTGCACAGCCCCACAGAGCCTCCATTCAGAGTGCTCACAACTCTCTCAGTGGCCAGATGCCGGGCACTGAGGAGATAAGGGGTAGGACAGCGTGTGAGATTCTTCAGCCAGTACACAATAGCAGGGCCCTACCAACCTCAGGCACAATCCGGTCATCATTTTATATCTAGTTCCTACACCTGAGTTTAAAAGGAGTGAAAGGGACAGGAAACACAAGCCTCTGGCAGGGTCGCTGCCTTCCCAGACCCACTAGAAAGCTCAAGGCCCCCAAAAGAGGAAGTATCTGCAAACACGCAGCCACTTGGGAAGACAATGAAGAAATATGGCATTTTGGTGCCAGGGCACGAAGTATTATTGCATCCCCGAAAAGGCAAACAAAAAGAAGTGATGATGACAAGTCCCCACAGATTTCCAAGTGCGACAGGCAAGGAAGTTAGAGTTTATCTCTTTAGATTGTTAAGAGAGATTTGTCAGTACATATGAAAAGCCTAAGACTCCTTTCAACTGTCTCCAGACAAAGTCATAATCCATCTACGTGTCACTGTTCTGGAGTGAATGTCTTTAAAAAACATGGGGATTTCCAAGTACTTGACCTGTGGAAAAATGGAGAAGTCCCAGAACTCAGCACATGGGGTCAGGCTGCCAAAAGCACCTGTGAGCCACATTCTCATGAGTGCAAACAGCCCTAGGTTAGAGCAAGTCTAAAGGCACCTCCAGATGGAATTCTGGCACTGTAGGTAAGCAGTGTCTGGAGGGGGCACAGGGAAAGGTCATACCTGATGAGCTAATATGTAGATGTTGTGTCCCACATTCCTGGGGGAGGCAGCTCCGTCCTCACCATTTTCTCCATCCTCAAATTCCACTTCACCTTGCATATAGGCTTTCTTGATCACTTCCACCTGCAAGAGGAGCCAAGAGAACAAAATTCCCATTTCAAGGCAGCCCGCACTGAACTGACACTGACAGCCCACACACTAGCCATCTCCCCTGCCAGGGCAGACTCTGCTCATCAGGCTCCCTTTCCCATTAGACTTGGATGCAGCCTCAGAATCCTTCCCAGCACTGTCACATGCAGTCACCACCAATCAATCTCCACTGGCATGAGAAATGAAACTCATTCACTCTACTTAGACTAAGAGACGTTCTGTGGCTGGTTCATGCTATTCTACTTTAGAAGGGGACAGTGGCTAATAATAAAAGCATCTTGAGATGATAAAATAGGATACAAATGTAGGCTAGAAGCCAGACTTTTCCTATCTCTTTCTCTGTCTCTCTCTCTCTCTTTTTTTTTTTCAATGGGTGGCTGGTGCAGGGACCCGAACCCTTGACCTCAGTGTTAAGACTTTTCCTATCTCTGCATTTCCTCCTGCCAACTCTCAACCTCCCGCCACTCCCAACCCTTGCCATTTCAGGAAATACTAGTAAGAAATCCATTCACTTTTAGGAGGAGCTGGTGAAACTATTTTCTTACTTCAAATTTTTCCCTGTCCCCCACAGCCTACTCCATGTGAAAATAATAGCATAAACTAGTAACATCTACCAACACTGACTATCTGCCAAGCACTTGCTTAGTATTTTAACATTCTTTCAAAAAATAATAATAATAATAATGCTCACAAACATTTTATGAGGTTTCAAAGATTCTCATTTTTTATGGATGAAGAAACAGACTTAGTGAGATAAAAGGACATTCTTCAAGTCACAGCTAGTGAGCTGGGATTTGAACTTGGCCCCGTTACCCTTCACAGCTGCATGACTCGGCCCCCTGAGGCCCATGCTCTTGGTTCTTCTCCTGCTTACAGCACATTTCTTAGGGAACTTCTGTACCTGTCCTACTGTTCTCAGGGTGGTCTGCTCATATCTGAATCCCTCCCTTAGTGCCCAGCACAATGCTCTGGACAAAGTTGGTACTAATAAAAAAAAAAAAAATTATCAAATGAACACATCATTCAAGATTTAATCACTCAAAGAATAAGAATAAAATAACTTCAACTCCTAAGTTGAATTAAAAAATCATTTTCTTTGATGCCTTCTGTGTTGCCACAAGGCTATTACTCTCGGTTATTTCTCATTATTCAAGACCGAGCATGTAGAGGGCCACACGTTTCTATACTGGCACCAGGTCAGGCCTTGGAAATAACTTGGAGATAAGAGCCTCACTCTCTGAACTTGTTTTCCTGCCAGTTCTAATACCAAATCAATTAGAAAACATGTGGCATACGATGTGGGGACCAGAATACACACAGGTATGTATGTATACATGCACACACGCACTCACACACATGCTTGTTTTCCTGCCAGTTCTAATACCAAATCAATTAGAAAACATGTGGCATACGATGTGGGGGCCAGAATACACACAGGTATGTATGTATACATGCACACACGCACTCACACACATGTTCTGGTTATTAGAGCTTCCCTGTTATTTGGATTTTCAGAACTTTTTTGTTCCAGAAGGCCTCTGATTCTTCCCGTGTGCCAGAACGATGCGCTCCAACCACAAGGGGGCAACCCAGGAGCCAGTGGCAGCTATAGCACTGGGTTTTGACATTTCTCCCATCCAAGATAGGTCAGAAGACCTGGGGCATGTTCTTGATTCATGGGAACCAGAATGGGATCTCTGGAAAGTCATCCCCTCCCTACTCTAGAACAACCAACTGTCCTCCCCAGTAACTCCCAGTTACATAAGCTGTTACTTAAACTCAGAGAGAACTTCCATCTCAGGCTGAGCACTCACTCCTGGACCTCAGAAATCAAAGAATTGGGCTGCTGTTAACTTTAAAGGAATACATAAAGGGACTTTAGTCTGGCCCCAAGTGCACATTCAGGTCACCAAGAGGCAGAAATGTTTTAGTGCCCTCATTTAAGTCTGTCAGTTACAGTTTATGTGCATGGGGAAAAGTCCAAATAGAGAGTTCTGTCCTCAACTCCTGTCACTGTCTCTAATAGCTGCTTGTCTCACAGTTTGCAGCACAAACTCCCAACCTGGAAGTCACAGCCAATTGTGAATATCACCCCTCAAAAACAAACCAGATCATGTTTTCTTTAAAACAAGAAAAAAACCCCAAAAAACAAAAACACCAGCTTCTAAAACTTCTGATGCCCAGACTCTTGGCACCGAGAAGAGAGATGAATTCTTTAGCACTAGACAAAGATACAGCAAGAATACAAGCAATGAACATGAATAAGGAGAAAAGGAGCCTCGATTCACTAAGGGTTTATGATGTGCCGAGCACTGTGCTAAGGGCTTGACACAAATATTCTCATCTAGTCTTCACAACAATCCTCCAGACTAGGTAATATTATCTTCCTTGTACAGATCAGGCAAGTGCAGCTCAGAGAGATCAAGTGACTGCCCAAGCTGACACAGCAAAAAGGGCAGAGCTATGCACTTGAACTCAGGTCTGCTGGACTCCTTGACCACACTCTGCATTCTGTCCCGGATGAGGGGGGGGGAGGGAGGCTTCCATGTGTGGTTTGTGCTGAAGGGAGAGGGCAAGGCAGCACATACTCGCTGCAATACTTCTCTCCCCAGGCAGAGGCCTGAGTTAACTGTTCTCTTTATACTTCTGATTTGGTGAATCTTTAAGAAAGCTCAATGGGCCAGCCCGGTGGCACGCTGGAGAGTGCGCCGCATGGGAGCACGGCGGCGCTCCTGCCGAGGGTTCGGATCCCATGTGGAGACCGGTTCCCGCTCACTGGCTGAGCGCGGTGCGGGCGCAACACCGAGGGTTGTGATCCCATTGCCGGTCCCCGGTACGGGCGTGACACCGTGGGTTGCGATCCCGTTACCGGTCAGTAAAAAAAAAGACAAAAAGGATTTAAAAAAAAAAAAAGAAAGCTCAAGGAAGCATATTCTCTGCTGTGCCCCAACTACTGTTCTGATGCTCCTTGGTGCCACAGTCAGGGGACCAGTCACCCAACTCACCAGTTCCTTTGGCCTCATGTTGTAAAGTATCCTCTCGGCGTTTTCACTGTCATGCCTGCTTTCCATGATGGCCAGGAGCAACTTCGAGGCATTGTTCTAAGTGGAGAAACCAAAGGAGAGGAGGTGTAGAGGAGAGCTTGGGTAGCTGGCCTGAATGCTCATGCGCGGCCGACACCAGTGCTGTGTCCTGGCTACGCAGACAGGCAGGCCACCCTACAGGGCAGCCATGGGTCAAGTACATCCAAAACCACGCACAGCAGGCAGAGAATGTACCACTGCACACCCTAGATACGTGTGTGCAGAATCTAATTTGGGTCAAACAGGCACACATTTGTTAGGACATACAGGTTATTATGCCTTCATGTTAGCTAGAACAAGTCCCAGTAGAAATTGGAAATTTAAACAGGGGTTCCTCTGGATATGTTGTTACCCTCAAGACGCCAGTGGTCAGGAAGAACTTACTATGTAGACCCATGATGCCTTCAGGGTGGGTGTGGTTAGAAACACTGTTATTGGGTCTTGCAGGCCAGAGAGGTCAGGCTATAAAGGTACTCCTCTCTATCTTAAAATATTTCTATCAGTTCTCATAACCCCTAATATTATCACGAGAGTCCAGCTGATACTACTTAACAAAAGTGACTCAAAGGAACACTGTACACATGCCAAGCCATAATTTCCCATTACATTAAAAATGTTCCTGTGTCCACACCCTGCACTTCTGGGCTTGACCTCATTTTAGGCCCTGAGCCTATGATCATTTGCATGCTTCTTTGTGTATAGGACCTAAACGTTGTTTTTTTTTTTTTTGAAGGGGGAGGTATTTTTTTCCTTCCCAAGTTTAGGTCACAGCAGTTCAGTTGGGTTGCTGGACTATCACAGGACAGAAATTTCTATCATAATCCACAGATTACTGGATTAGTTGAAAAAGTCACTGAAATGCTGACCAGCAGGCACATGAAATCCTCAGTTTATTCAGACCCTCATTGTGGACTTTCTGATAAATGGCAGCCAGGTACATGAGCTTGAATTATGTTCAAGTTAATTCTAAAACAAAATCTGTCAAAAGAAGTTTTAAAAAGAGTTTATTCAGACCCTCATTGTGGACTTTCTGATAAATGGCAGCCAGGTACATGAGCTTGAATGATGTTCAAGTTAATTCTAAAACAAAATCTGTCAAAAGAAGTTTTAAAAAGAAAAAAAAAATTGCACTTAAACCGTACACCCAAATCAACTATTAATTTGGATTCTCACTTCTAAATGCTAAAGGAAAAATAACTGTGCCATTCCTGCGGGCTTCTGTTAAACCCTCCCTATAGCCTTTCTTTCCCATGACACCCTTGATGCAATAAATACAGATCAGCTTTTTGGCTAAACCCTGTAGTTCCAAGCTCTTTCGTGACAATGATAAAGTGCTCACTACTGGGTATGGGTGTAAGATAGAGGGCAGATCTCAACATGCCACAACATGGGAACAGTTAAAAAGGAAATGTGCTCGGTGACGCTAACGCGTTTCAAAATACACTTCAGACACCAGGATGGTTCGTAAGTTCAATTCTTAGAACTGAATCTTTGGATTCTTAAGAGAATTTTTGGAGCCCCTAAATCGGGGGTGGGTACACCTCAGTAATCAACATCAGGAGTGGTATATCAGCTTCTCAAATATCCAAGAGGCCAGTGTGCAAAGCCAGCAGCTCAAGCACCTTGAAGTCACTACACTTTCACTCTATAAAACTATTTTAGTATCACAGAGAGTCAAAATGTCAGTGGTGCCTCCACATTAGTCATCTGCATACAGTCCTCAACTTGTGCATAATTCAGAGAAACTCTTCAGAGACCTGTAGGCATATTCTCAGTCAGTATAATTTACCTTATTTTAAACCAACATTATTAACCAGTCTTCTGCTAAATCAATAACAGAACAGAAAAATTAAATAAAAATAGTGGGTTTTTTTTTTTTGTCCTAGATAGGCTTAGTTGTACTATTCTTCCAAATGGCTCTTTTTCCTCAAAGGGAGAAAAAAAACCAGATACCAGAGAGGGGATGGGGTTTCCAATGTTTCTCTGCCGGTGGCTTTCAGAATCAAGGCTTTTTCTTCTTGGATGCTGTTTGAAATTGTTTCTCAGCTCTGAGTGATGAGTCTTCATTCCATGTGACCTAACAGTTGACAAGCTGATATCCTGTCATGAGACCCTTATTTGGAAGGGAAAGCATGAAGTTCTGCATTTTAGTCAGAACTTGTAACTTGGATCACTTATTTAGTTTAAAAGAACTGTCTTTAATAACTGGTTTCCCAACAATGACCATGTCACATGCCAAAGTAAAACACACAGTGACTGTTTCCAAGCGCTACTGTCTTTTGCTTTCAATTCCTACTTGCCTTCAGTTCTAATACAAGGTCCATCCTCTTCTTTCCCAAAGGATTGATGTCGTTAAGGATCAGAGCTGTGATGATGTCAATGCCATTGGATTCATGGGTGGCTATGCAGTTCTGAGCAAACAGACACATACAGACATTTACACAAACACTGGTCATAAATCAGACGTCAAAGGCCAACAAGCTGAACTGCTATTTCAACACAATGCTTGCCACTCCCAGTAATGTCTCTAGAGGAGGGCTGCAAATTTTCCGTGAGAAAGTGGTAAAAATAAAAGACAGATGAAAATCTCTAGTTTCAGAATTAACAGTAAACAGTAGGAAAGTCCCCATGCACTATAACTGATAAGTTGGTTGTGTCTAATCCAAATAGTGTAGTGCAATAGGCTTTTGTTCTTAAAGGAAAATATGGTGTATGACTGATACTGAATTCTAAACCCTTTTTCCCCTTTAAAGGTGTGTTCCATTCTCTCTATATATCACTCTTTCATATTTCGTACTTTTGCTTAAGGCTTAAGCTTGGAAAGCAAGTTTCCTATTTAATTCACACAATATCAGAATTAATCATCTTCCCCCAGGTAAGATTCCCCACTTGCAGCTCAGTCCACCTCAGTTCATTCCTTTCAACAGGACTCTGTGTGTCGGAAAAGCAAAATTGATGTAATAAGAAAATTTACTTACAAGTCAAATAAAGCCTTTCCCCCAAGCATGTCGTATTTTTTTGTTCCTTTTTCATTTTAACTAGGACTACACCATCTGCTTCATCAAGGAACCAAGAGAGGAAAGAGGATCTAACAAAACGCTATCCTCACATTCACAGAAAACTAAGACCAGGTTTTTAACAGACACTGAGTTGTTTCTCGTAAACTACTCTTCTCCAAGTGAAGGTCTTGGCTCCCCAAATAACACCGCATCTCAGACCTTCTCTGGCCACTGGGTTTAGAACTGGTCATTTTGGGCCGGCCCGGTGGCGCACTGCTACAGTGCGCCGCTTGGGAGCGTGGTAGCGCTCCCGCCGAGGGTTCAGATCCCACATACAGACCGGCCGCTCACTGGCTGAGCGAGGTGCGGGCGCAACACCGAGGGTTGCGATCCTGTTGCCGGTCACGAAGAAAGACAAAAAGGGAAAAAAAAAAAAAAAAGAACTGGTAATTTTAAGCCTTGGCCTACCCCCTCCAGCCAGAATGGAGCTATAATTTGGAGTTAAAAATCATATCCATCCTAGCACTGATACAAAAGCTAACAAAATCTTCAAGATTCCATTAAAAGCAATAACTCTACTCAAAAAAAGAAACTACTGGGGTACTTCTTGAGAGGCCCAAGTCAAGGCTACCAAGTCTTTCTTATCCCTGAATGTCCTTGATGTTGAAATCTCAACTATAAATGTTCTCATTTTACTTTTGAGCTGTCTCATGTGTAGCAAGTTTTTTCCTTGCTAGGTTTAAATCCCCTTCAAGTAGTCACTTTTTGATCTTTTCCAGTATTCAGAATAGATCGTAGTCTTCTGGGTATAATCTAATCCCCACTTTATTACCTAAAAATCAGGTTATAGTTGGACAATTCCAACAAAATCAAACCAAACCAAACCATACCAAGCCAAGCAAAGAAGCCAGGGACAATTCCTCTAATGCCCATCATTAGGTAAAGTCCTGAAGTGTAATACAGCACTGTGGCTACTTCTCAACTGCTAGAAAATGGTCCCCGGTCCTACTGACTCCCTAGGCTAACAGTCAGATGCTATGTAACTTCTGAACTAGTCTCTGTCAACATTTCCAAAATGATAAACTTTTTTTTCCCCCCATCCCAAAATACAGATGAAATTACCTGGTTCTCATGGCAAGGTCCTTGACAGTATTCGGTCAGACTTTCCAGGGTTTGGTTGATAAGCGCTACATTCTTTTCGTTTATATATAGCCCAAGAAGACCAAGGCCCCCGGTTGTGCTTCCACAAATACAGTCCAGAAACTGCAGCGTCTCACATACCAAGTTGTAGTTGGTCTTGTTATTTTGGCAACGAAGGAAGTTCTGCAATTGAACAGTCCCCAGGATGGAGGAACATAGGCAGAGAGAAGAGGGAAGAGGTCATTTATTCTGACATTTTGATAGTCTGTAATAGGCTGGTGCCCTGACTGATCAGCAGTCATGCAGAGGGATGCAGCATGGGACAGACAGAAGAGTCGGCATGGTCACGATGGTCAGCCAGTGGACTTGGTCTGTGGCAGTGGCCACCAACACTGCAGCTTGCTCTCCAAGGTGTTTTTATATGGGATGCAGGGGAGAAGGGCCCCTCACTGAGGCCCACTTCAGACCCCTATAGTCTTTCTCAGTTCTCATTTCTCCACTCACTTCTCACCCCCTTCTCCACTCCTGCCAGCCCCTTCCCATCAGGTGTTAAGTTCAAAGGCATCTGACATTTCCAAGGGCAGTGGTTACATTTAAACAATGATGCTGTGGGGTCTGCTTGCTGAATGCCCAGAGCCTAGTACTTGGATGGTTCACCACAAAATTAGATGTCATAGGCTGGCTTAAGCCCAGTGCCATGGAGGGAACCTGGACTATTGTGTTTGGCCAATTCCATTATTAAACGAAGGGATAAGAGTGCATGCATGTGTGTGTGCTATGTGCATGTGCCCAAGTACGTATTCTCCAGGTAAACCTGTAATGTTAACAAGAGACATAAGAGCAAGGTACTTCCTCAATAAAACAGAGAAAGCCACTTTCAATCACCACGTAAAGCAGAGGAGAGTCTCTGTCTCTCTCTCTCTCTGTTCTCTCTGCTTCCACCATCTCACAATGTGAGACCCCGGGTCGCTGTCGCCACCACCAGATGGACTTTGGACATCCCAGCCTCAGAAACTGTAAGCAATAAATTTCACTTTCTTATAAATTACCCAGTTCTGTGTAAGCAATAAATTTCATTTTTCTTTATAAATCACCCAGTATCGGGTATCCTGTTATAGCAACATGAAACAGACTAATACAGCCGGCTTCTCAGGAGGGTCCAAAGCACAAACAAAGTGGATAAAATCGGTCCTTCCCATTCCATTTGTGACTGTGGAAAACAAGGCTTGCTTAAGGCAGCAACCGCCCGTTTTGGCAAAGTCAAACTTGGAGGCTTTATCTCTACTGAACATTTACCAACAGGAAAGTTACGGTTGTAAATACGACAAGAAACTTTGGGCAAGAGCCCAGAGACTGCTGCTTCAAAAGGCCAGATTCTTTCTCCCTCTGAGTCCATCTGCACTTCTCTGCAGCAGGGGCCAAAGACCCTCTCTGCTGTTTGAATGCCTTCCCCTTCCTCAGATCCACTGCCAACAGGGTGGCATTCAGTGTAGTGGAATCCTACTTAAAAACATCATTTTGAGAACGAGATTCCCTACAAATACAATTTCACTGGAGCAAATCACCACCTGAAAGAGTTTGATTTTGTGGGAATTTTTAAAGATGATTCTAACCTCCATCCTTGTGAACCATTGATCCAGATCATTGGCTTTCCAATAACGGGGCCCTGCAGAACCCTAGCGGTTCTCTAGAATGTCCCCCACCCCACCCCCACCCCAGGCTCTTGTAGGTGATAGAGGAGAAGAAAGCTCTGGTACTCTCTAGTTTGCTCTCATCTGCTTTACTAAGTACATTTCTGCATAAAACATTCAAGCAAAGGATTCTGTGGTCCAAAAAAACCAAAAAAGTTTAAACCACTGAATTGGATAACCATTATGCTATCTTCAAATATTAAGTTGTTAGGTCTCATTAAAAATATATTAAGATATACTATACAATAACCCCCCTTTTCCCATAGCACTGTTTCCCACAGAGTAGTGTATCAGAGAATTGGGTTTTGAAAGAACTTCATTAAAACGTGTTTCTGCCTGTGGGGTTCTCAGGGCATTAGTTTGAAGGAGAGTTTTACAAACAGCTAAGGTACAAAACTAAAATTCTGAAGACTTCCCAGCCAGGAGTGATGAACTTGTGCAATGAAAGCCTTACTCTGCCCCCACAGTGGAAGGAAGGAGGGTGTGCTGGTAAAGGAGGAAGATCACCAAGAGCTGGAAGACAGAGCAGATGCATGGAACCAGAGCCATGCTTGGGAACAGCACTGACCTCCATGGAGGGATTCCCTCTAGGCAGCTGCCATAGACTGACTGAACTGTGTCCCCAAAGTTCATACATTAGAAGCTTAATTCCCACTGTAACTGTTGAGGGGGGTAAATCCTATTATGGGAATTGAAAGGTGGGGCCTTGAAGAGGTGATTAGATTGTAAGACCATGCAGTAGTGAATAGATTAAAAATGGTGGTCATAGGCATGGTTCTGAGGGCTTTAAAAATACAGCACGTGAGAGGTTAGTCTTTCTCTGCGCCACCATTTCACAATGTGCGTCACTGAAGTCACCACCAAGACCCTCACCGGATGTGTTCCCTGGACTTTGGACGTCCCAGCTTCAGACACTGTAATCAATACATTTCATTTTCTTTATAAATCACCCAGTTGCAGGTATTTTGTTATAAGCAACAGAAACGGACTAATACAGTAGTCTTGTGTTCTGTTAGCCCAGAACTTTGCAGGTGGCAGCTCCATGGAGAAGCTTCCTGGACCTGCATGCTGGATTGGTTCTCTTCCTCTGACCCCACAAAGCCCCTGCCTTGACACCATTGCAGCACTTACCAAAACTGCACTGCAATCTCTGGTTAGTTCAAGTGGTTCCTGACCTAGACACTCAGCTCTATGAGGGGAGGGGTGAGGTCCCATCACCATCACTGTCAGGCACAGAGCAGGTATGTACCAATCATGACTGAAGGACAAACACACACAGGCATCATTTCAACCTACTTTCCCTTTGGAGCCCAAGGTTGATGGAGACCAGTGATACCTGTACCAGGGAACAGGACAGGGCACTGGTCACTATGCTCAGGCTAGAAATAGCCACTAGCAGCAGAGTGGGGCCTCCCACCCACAGATGCCACAGCCAAGATGCTCAGGCTTGGTTCTCCATGGGGTCCTTCACGTTGCCTCAGCCCGTCTCCCTCAGGACTAATGGTGTAGACTGAGGCATACCAGCCAATGAGACGGTAACAGACCCGCGTCCTTTGGGGCATGAGTGTTCTGCTCTACTTAACTGAGCTTAGCAGTCCCAGGCAATGAATCAAGGGCTGAGGTACTCTCAGCCCCAAGTAGCAAATCTTGAGCAACTGCAAGAAAAGAAAACTGACAGCCAGGATGCCACACTCACATCGACAGGAATCAAGCAGAGAGTGTCAAACTAGAGAAAGGGCCCGACCCCGTCTGGAGAGGCCATACTGCTGCCATGCAAACCACATGGCACTGGGGGTCCAGGGTGGCCAATGGTGGGGTTGATGTGGAATCCCTTCATTGGAAAACACGATCCGATTTGGTCAGTTGATGACCTCAGATCTTAGATGCCTTTTCAACATTCAGGCTCTCCAAACCAATGTGATTAAAAATAAAAACAATCACAGAAGGTACAAATAGTGCAGGTTTCTCCCAGCTCCATTTCATTGTTCTGTCTTACTGGTTAGCAATATAATTTCTGACTCAGCTAATCCACACACAGATTCCAGGGCAGGTTTTAAGAGAGAGTGATTTACTGTAGCAGCACTGAGTGGCCCGGCCACAGTCGAGGAGTGACAGGCCATCAAGTCGCCCAGTGAATAAAGTCAGCAATGCAAATATTGAAAGGCTGCACCCACCCCTTGCCAGGTTTAGACCAGAATTATTTCTTTTTCATACCATCAGGATTCAAGCACACAAAACTACCATGGCCGACTTGTTTATCTTAGGAGCAAACATTCCATCTCAGAGGAGATGTTCACACATACTTCTCTTGCTCACACCATTCAGGCAGAGGGCTGGCTTCCCCAGGTCCAAGAATCCAATCAGAACCAGGCAATGGCCAAGGACCCATGTTCCAGCATGCTTTTTTCTGGGCAGTGAGGGCCTCCACAGATCCAGGCCCATTCGGAAGAAAAAAGAGGCTTTCTGGAATGTTCCTAAATAAATAGGCTTTGCTGCCGGGAAACGTTGCAAGGGAGATCATATACCTTCTACCTTAGCATCTGGTTAATATCATGAGTTCTAGCATCAGACTTCCTGGGTTCAAGTCCTAGTTCTGCACTCCCCAACTATGCCTCCTACACCCTGGTTACCTCATCTATAAAATGTAATGATATAAGCAACACTTAGCATCCAGATATTCTAACCGCCCAATAAATCTTGGCCATTGTTATCCTCCAAAAACAACAACAAAATGAACAAAGCATTTCTGGAATAATCAGTTTAACAAAGATCTTTGAGCATGTGTTTGTGTAAAACACTGGAAGGCAGCTACTTCATTCATTCAACCAACAAATACTTAATTACAACTTTCTATGCACCTGATTTTATAAATCTAATATATTAAACGTATCTAATTATCTAGCCATTCATCCGATTTTCATCTGAGCATCTAATGCCAAATAGCGGCAGGCTACAAGATACACACACACAAAGGCACACTCACAGCCTTAGCAAATATATGTGGAGCAGGTCCCTCCACTGGTGAACAATGCATGTGACACCTGGCCCTGTGGAGACAGTGGGGAAGACAGAGAGACACATCAGTCACCCAGACTTTCATGTCAGAGAACCAAGCTGGATTGACTGCTCAAGCACTCTGGATGAAGTGAGAGGAGTTGAGCCATCAGAGGAAGCCAGAACTCAGTGTTCCCACCACCCCCAACCACTCCCACCCCACCACACTCCCAAAGCCCTCACCTGCAGGTCTCGGTTGTGGTTTTCACACAGCAACTGCAAGAAGCGCAGGATGGGCTGCATGATGGTGATGACTGCGCTCATCTCCAGCTCATCCTTGGTCTTGTCGGCTGTAGCCTGGGTGCCCTCCCCGGGCTGGTAGTGATCATCAGGGTCGGCCTCCCTCCTGAAGGTGGTGAAGGCTTTCCGGGTGGCAGCAGATGCTTCCAGGAGCTGATCTCGGACCTCTTCCGTTATCTGTGTTGAGGGCTCTTTAGCTAGGGTGTGGGCATAAGACAGCAAATGATACTGAATCCCCAGGAGCACTTTCACCACACCAAAGATGATGTTCCCATGTTCACTAGAGATCCTCTAGGTTGCAAAACACTCCAGGAAGTCATCATCTTTGTTCGGTCCTTAGATAGGATTAAAACTGAATCACACTCTGCTAACTCACTCATGGTTCTAATGTTTCATCCTTGCTTACACTGAGTTTTAGAGGAATAGCCTTAGTGTAGCTCTGTCAACCTCACAAATCTAGGCTCCAGGCCTCAGCCTTCTCATCTGTGAAATGGGAGTGGATCGGTGAATTCTATCTTCAGAAGGTTCCTAAGAGGCTCAACATAATGTTAATCACAATGATAATTATTCTTATTATAGTGACAACTGACTGGCCCTTTACTAAGTGCCAAGGCAACATGATTAAGCATTTTGTGTGCATTATCTTGTCTAATCCTCGGAATAACCCTGTGAGGTCTCTGTGGCATTACAGCTACCAGCAGACATTCTGCAACCAGACTGCCTGGGTTCCAATGCTGACTCCACTGCCTGCTCGATGCAAGTTAATTACCATCTCTGTTCCTCAGTTTCCTCCTTTGTAAGATGGGGATAATGATTTTACTAACAGAGTTGACTTGAGTTCTAAATGAATGGACACAAGTAATGAACTTTGAGCAGTGCTGCATTCGGTAAGTACTTAGTAAATGGTAGCTGTTCTTCTATTTCTTTATCCCTATGCTAGACCAGTTGTTCTCAGTCAGGGGTGATTTTCCCCTCAACCCCACCCAGGGAACCACTGGCAATTTTTGGAGACATTTATGGTTGGGGTGGAGATATGCTATTGGCATCTACTAGGTAGAGGCCGTGTATACTGCTGAATATCCTACAATGCACAGGACAGCCCCTATGACAAAGATTTCTCCACATGTCAATGGTGCTGTGGTTGAGAAACCCAGTTCTAAACTTGAAAAGCAAGGTTCAGAATGGTTAATTAACTTGCTCAGGGCAGCTGGAATCCAAAGCTTGTGGGTCTACCCTCTCCCCAGTACTACTTTTCTTCCAGGAGATAATGGATATAAAGCTTTATAAACTTTCAAATATTTTAGAAAAAGTAAGGGAAAATTATCTGACAAAGAACTGACACCCAGTTTAAGGTGCATATTTCCCTTAAATTTCTGTAATATTAAATGGAAATCACAGGAAAAGAACTCAAAGCTTGACCAGAAGAATGTTCACTAATTTATTAAATAAGACCTTCCCAAGCAGCAGGACTTCAGCTCAGGTTATTTAAGAAGACTTATAACCAGATTGGCTTTTTTCTTCTGAAAGTCCCATTCAAAATGCATTTTGGAGTTTAGAAGTAATGAAAAAATAAAGGAAAACAAGGTGCTTCTCTGTTGTTCACAGCCCTGCTGATTGAAGTCTGAAGAGCATTTACCTTTTTTCCGTGATGGGGCATCTCTGTCTACTTCATCATCTTTCTTTTTATTTCCCAAGTCACTGGTGTTCACTGTCACTGTTGCCTTGATTTCTTGCTGGGCCACTTTCATTCGATCATAAAAGACCTTAAAGAATTTCTCTGACTTCTTATCTTCTGTCAACCGGCAGAAAAAGGAATGCTGCCAGGGAAAACCCACAGACTTTTTAACACTGTAACAGACCAATTACTGAACCCCACTCATGATACCAAAACGTATGGAAATCAGAGCCAGACACAAAACCTCACAAATGATCTAAGTTTAGACCCAGGTTAAACACTGCTCCACACTATGATCTTCTGGGTTCTAAGGCCTGAGATTTTCAACGCAGAGACTTTAAAACAAATCAGCGTGGCTGGAGCTGTCGCAAAAGCCTTGGAAACATGCTAAGATGTAGTGGGCGGACTTTAGCCAACTAGGAACAACCCCCTTCTGCCCCTGCATACATGCAAAACAACCCCATTAGCAATGGAAATGGAATATATTTTTGGTGATTTCTGTAGGATCAGTCATTTGTTTAAGGACTACCATGTGCTCCTCCCCTGTGCAGAGCCCTGTGAAAGAGTAAGATGTGCTACCTGCCCCTATGGGCTTGTTAACAGGTTAGGATGACACATCCATGAATCAGACTAAAATGCACAAGTAAAAAACACTCAAGAAGCTACACAATTTATATTATAGGAGCCAGAGCTGGCGAGGATGACAATGGGCTGGAATGATCCCAAAATCTTCATGAAAAAGGTGATATTCAAACCAGGCCTTGAAGGACGAGTAGGAGTGCTTAGACGGAGAAACTCAAATTTAACAGGTAGCTTGCCTCCTGAATACACATTTGTTTTTGGACCCACTGCAAGCAATAGTATACACTGTTGATGTAAAAACACAATATGGCATCGCAACTTCATTTACGAGTATTCGCTCTGCACCCCTTTGCAAACACCACACTGTTGTGAATTATTTACATAAAAATACAATACGGTCATTTCCAGAGGAATAAAACAAAGCTCCAAACAATATATTTGTGTCTCCCAGTTGGATGTTTCTGCCAATTTCATATCCTTCTATTTGGAAAAATGGCACTTTCCCACAGAAGGTAGCCCTGGGCTTCTAATCCCAGAAAACACCTAAAATCTTACCAGCCTCTTCAAGCCCCCTAACTTCTCCAACTCCCACCCATGCACCACCACTCCCCATGCCTGATTCCACAGGCCCCCAGACGGCACCCCATTTCCATCTGCCAACATGCGACTTCAGTCACTCTGAGCTTTCTAGCCATTGGCCCCCACGCTGCACTGACAAATATCTGTCCCATCTGCCCACACTGCACATCTTGAGGGTGCCGTTTCTTCTCCCTCTCACCATTCTTCTTTACCTCTGGTTGTTTCTTATTCACAACACAGGATCCATCCTTTCTGCTTGTGTTTCCTGGTTCTATCTTTTCCCCTCCAACCACTCCCAAATCACCCAAGTCACCAACCCAAGTCACCAACCCCCTGTACTGCTCAGCCTTATCATTCCATGCATCGCTGTGTGTCACAAGACTCCTACTCTAGAACTAAGCTTAAGTCTTTACTGTCCTCCATTGCCCTTTACTGCCTTTTTACTTTTCTTTTATGTTTCCTACTATTTCCTCCACCCACCCATCCATCCACTATTTACGGTGCACCTGTCATGAGCTGGGCACTGTGTAAGTTACAGGGGAAATAATGGTGAGCAACAAAGAGCCTGGGCCATGAAACTGGCAGCCTGGGGAGGAAAACATACAGTAATTCGATAATCACCCTAATGAGTATTTACTAAAACAGCCTTTTATCTCTATGAAAGTGACCCAAGAGACTGCTGGTGAACAGTCCTGTGACAGACACTCAGTGCCTCTGCCCTGTCCTTGCTGTTCCTGGCTCTTCCCATGGCTAGGGTCATCTTTGATCTCCCCACTAATGTCACCTCCTCAGTGAGGCTTTCCCTAAGCAGCTCCCAAGGCCATGCCCTTTTATTCTCTTCATAGCAATAAATAAAACACTCTGAAATGACGCTGTATTTACTGTTCACTTGCCCTCCGTCTTATGCAGAGCAGGAGCTCTGTGAAGGCAGACACCTCATCAGCCTGGTCTACAGATGTCCCTGAAGCACCAAGAAGAGGCCCAGCTCACAGCAGGCACTCCACAATGGCTTGATGAAAGAATGAACATAGCCCGGTACTTCACGGCTCCTCCTCACTGGATACTCCCAACTAGATCCTTCCCAAATTCAGTGAACATGACAAATAAATCCCCCAAATAAATTAATTCTGGAAAATTGCTCAAATATGAGAAACCAAGTTCTAACTGTTCACTTCTTCGAGAGCCAATACATCCACAGACAAAACAAGATGTATGGGGACGGTGACCTCCACTTACAGCCACCTAATTATGATGACAGAATTTTCCAGCATGACAAGCCATACAGCATCTCACCCCCACACGGACCCCAGGGAGACAGCTAACTAAAGCTGTGGGTCCCCCAGAAGACAGACACTCAGGACAGTTCACGTAGTTGCTACCCCAGCAGTCCTCTCGTTGCATGGAGGCAGCTTTAAAAGCATTTTGGGACAATCCGGTCACTCAAGAAAACAAAAGTACTTTAAGTAAGTAGGCAAATAAATAAATAAGTCAAGCCTGCCATCTGTCATCTGATAACAGCGCAACGTTGCGCACAGAGCACACTACAAACCGGCTGCTTAACGTCCAGCCAGTTAACCCGACAGATGTCAGGTGATACCGTCAGGGTAAGGGAAGCTCTTATGAAATAAGAGCGGGCAAGGGACTGAGGAGTCTGCACTTCTGTATACGTTCCTGCAATGGCCAGTGTGGCTATTCTGAATTGTTTATACCAGTCCTCGACGCCACGAAGATCCAAAGCAGCTTTATCAACAGAATGTGCTCAGTAAAATAATAAAACGGACAAGGGGGCCAGAAGGCATGAGGAAGCATAGAAAACCCAAATTAGAAAAGGTTGGTGATTGCAGGATGGGAGAGATGATTCAGGGGAGCTTCAGGCCTGGCCCCAAGGTCCCTGGCCACAGTCAAGCCGAGACAGGAGATATACTCAGTTACACCTCTTAGAATCAAAAGAGACATGTACCAGTGCCCCCAGGGAAGGAAAACATTTCTTAACAGAGGGGTTGGCAGGAGAGGCTTTCCAGTCAGGCTGCCAGGGTGTGAATCCTGGGTCCCTCATCCACTGGCTCTGTGACCCTGGGCAAGTTGCCGGGCCTCTCTGAACCATGTGAAAGGGCTGTCCCTGTGCTGAGCACCATGCCCACTGATAAGTGTTAGTTTGGGGTTTCTACCACCGTTACGTTAGTAGAACATGAAAACCCCACTGTGAAGGCGACCCTGTGAGCAGCTAGGGCAGAATAGCAAAGTGGTGGGAACTCTGTTTCTGGAGGCGGAGAGACCTAGGTTCCTGTTCCGCCACTTGCTAGCTAATGTCATCTTAGAAAGTGACAACGTTTCTGAAACCCGAATTTTCTCATCTGTGAAATGGGCACAATAACAGCACTTCACGGGTGGTTACGAAGCAGCTAACGTTTACTGACTGCTCACAGGTGGCAGGAACTCGGGGCACAAGTTCACGCTGCACTCTCACACAGAAACCCCATGGAGATAGTTACACTTATTATTCCTTCTTGCGAGATCAGGGCTTCCTCAAACACGATGTACAACAGGTGTTTTAGCACACCCCCAAGATACCCAAACTACGAAGGATACACTCTCACCAGGACTCCCAGGTCTGCGGTGGGGTAGCACAGCCACAAGAGACGATGGCCCGGGCTCAGGCTCAGGCTCCAATTCTCCTGACTGAGAAACTAAACAAAGAAACTCTGCAAGGAAGAAGTTAGGTCTGCAAAAGAGAAGCAGTAGTATCTTCTACGAGTGTAGGAGTGGAGAATGATGGCAGCGTGGGGGAAGAACTAAGACCCTTTCCCCACAGCAGGAGGGTGTGCCATGGGGAGGAGAGGGAGGATGCGGAACAGGGGCTCTCAGGGGCTTCTGGAATGGCCTGGCTGCAGCTGCTGGAGGTGGTCACCCACCCCTCTCCGGCGCCTGGTGTGTTCTAGACTTCGTGAGACCAGGGCCCTCTGCACAGTTCACGCACCTGCTCATTAAACCTCCTTCTGCAATAACGTGTTCTCTCATAGTTTGGGAGGGGGAGAGTGGGCGCCCTGCTCAGGACTGTCTCCCAGAGCAGAGCAGCTAAGTGCACAACTCCCAGCCATTGGGCTACTGAGGCAGGGCCTCTCCACAGGGCTAGTGCCTCCTTCCCTGCCTGAACCCATTTCAATCATCACGGCAGCCCCAAAACCAAGAGCAAATAGTCACAAAGAGATTGCACTTTCCCAAAATTTTCACTCCACCCCCTCCTGGAAGGTGTGAGGTAAGCCCTTCAACATAAATCTGGCCTTGAGCAGGAAACATTAGTTGCTGGTGAGAGAAATCAAAACAGAAGGACTGGCCGGTTACTCAGTTGGTTAGAGCATGGTGCCGAGAACACCAAGGTCCAGGGTTCGATCCCTGTACCAGCCAGGCGCCAAAAACAAAAAAAAACAAAAAAAACAAAAAGGAAAAAAAATCAATGTCTACTATTTTACTTATTATTTATTTTTTTATTTTATTTTTTTTTAAAAGATGACCGGTAAGGGGATCTGAACCCATGGCCTTGGTGTTATCAGCACCACACTCTCCCGAGTGAGCCACGGGCCGGCCCCCTATTTTACTCTTTAAGTATATATAACTGCAATGTGTCAAAAAGTTTTTACAAATCAGAACAGTGGTTGCCTGAGCAGGGTGGGGGGTGGGGTGGTGAGTAGGAAGGGACTAGAAAAGGAAACAAGAAAACTTTCTGGAGTGAAACATCTCAATTAGGGTGGTAGTTATAGCTGTGGTAGACAGACTCACACCCCGCCTCCAAGATGTCCATGTCCTAACCCTTGGAACCTGTGGATATGTTACCTTACATAGCAAAGGGGAATTAAAGTTGCAGACAGAATTCAGGCTGCTCATTGGCTGACTTGAAAGTAGGGAGATTATCCTGGATCATCCACAGGCCTTAAAAGGGGAAGAAGATGAGGCTGGAGAAATGCCATGTGCCAAGGACACGAC